AGCAAATGTTAAAGCGACTGAGGAAAAACAGGACTGAATAATAACTTTACACTACATATCAAGCTTTATAGGATGTGTGCAAATGAAAAATTTGCATTACAACAGGTTTTTCTTCCAAACCAAATGTATCCCAATATGTAGAGAAAAAACGCATAATCTGGCTGCAGAGTTAGACTCGAGGCACGAAGAGGTTGTGTTCGGTCTCTTAATTAATCATAGGTGTGCGGATTGGGTGTAACATGAAATATCATCTTCCAGTCTTGGTTTCCTGTTGTTTCAGGTCACTGTCAGGTCAAACGTGAGACCTTAATGTTTCAAACTATTCAGACAGTGAAATCAACCATTAGCACTGCCCTGGTGCATCATGGGAGAACACCTGGTGATTTGAGAAATGTGTTGACACACGCCGCCCATTTGGCAAACACTGTGCAGAGGCCATCGCATCGCCTCACACACGACATCAGATCACTTTTAGGGCACGCTAACGTCCTTTGTGCAGCTATGAGTGTGTGTGTGTGTGTGTTTGTGTGTGTGTGTGTGTGAAGCAGGTGTTTGCACAGAGACCTGACAGCATCCTGATCACATGACCCTTTAGCCACAAGTTGTTTCTTGTTTAAATAATGTTTTGGCTCCACATGTTGTCCCTCAAACCATCGTTTCTATCAGTTAGAATAAAACTGTTCTTACTCAAGTTGATTGATCGATAAAAATAGACATTAACAACAAGTCAGAGCTGCAGATGTAAAAAGCATGAAGCAAGAAGATTCTGACCCCGTTGTCACCGTGGCTTTGAACTCCTCACTACACTGCTGGAATGTAACTAAGTACATTTACCCAAGTACTGTACTTACGTATACTTTCGAGGTACTTCTCAGAGGGACATACTTCACACTTTCATCTGACAGCTTTAGTTACTAGTTGATAGTGATCTTTATTGGCCACATCCAAGTTTACACCCAGCACAACACTGAATTGGTTGTCTGCATTTAACCCGTCCTAATTAGAAGCAGTGGACGGCAGTCATGCAGCACCCGGGGACCAGTTAGGGGTTCAGGGCCCTGCTCAGGGGCCTGCTCAGGGGCTCCTGAGGCTGTGGTTTGTACTGGACCCTCTGGTTCCCAAGCCAAGTCCCTACAGACTGAGCTAATGCAGAATCAGTTCCTTTGGAAATTAGGAATTTTGCAAAAAACACTTGAAGAATTTATAAATTTTGATGTTTTATTACAAATTAAACATTTTAGACAAGTGCAGCTGAAACAATTAAAGAAGATGTTTTTTATTGTCACGTGTTGCGAAATTCATTTAGTTAATAGACAAAAACATTAAGTGGGAACTATTTTGACGGTTGAAGTTTTTTTTTCCGGTAGAAACACATGATGTAAAGACTGTGATGTTTGACGTTTAGACTGTTGGTTGGACAAAACAAAAAGGCGTCACTTTGGTGGAGAAAATAAAGTGTATTTTTAAAGTGTGGTGTTCCTACTTTAACTGATACTTGGAGGTGATTCTGCTGTTTCACCAACACGGAGCGATATCGACCTCCAGTGGTAACAAGTGGACCTGCAGGTCTGTGGGGGTCAGATCAGGTCTGTAGGATGTTCCCAAGGGAAACGTTTTCCTCAGGATCACATATTTTATTTATGTTATTAGAGAATGTGTCCTGTAAAAGTTATTCCTCTCTGCTGAGGAAACAGCTGACTGTTCCTCCACACGACACTTAACATCTGTTTTAACAACACAGGTTTTGTGCGAGAGGCCTGTGGCCTGCACTGCGAGGGGAGTTCAACCTACTCAGAGTTAACAAACTCTGACCGCCTACACTGGAGTTAAACGGTACCACGACGGTGGATCAGATGTTGGTTAGTTGAGTCCATGTTAACTTAATTGAAGTTGGTGCACGTTCGCATAAAAGGGGCGTATCAGGCCGTGCAGGCAGAGTTTATTTGCAACAGCGCATGCTCCGTATTTCTCCAGAGGAACGCACGTTGGTAGAGTCAGGAAATTATGAATGCAAAGACAAGTTAATGGTAAAATCTAACATTGTGGCGGACGACTAAGCCAGGGGGGCTTGTTGGCATCGCATGGAGTAAATTTGAAGCCTAATTATCTTCACAGTGTTCTGATTGTAGTTCAAATCTAAATCTCATCTTTTATGTGTGATATAATGAAGATGTAAGGTACAACTAAACTTAACATAAGGTCCATTGTCATAGAAAAAAAAGTAGCCAGCAGAGAGGGGGAATAATCTGAGACAGAATTTAATTTCCAGGATTAATCTACAAGTAAAAAACTTGAACATTCTGACATTATAGTCACACATTCATGAGAGAAACTTCACTGTGCGAGGCTGCAACATCACACACACGCGTCTGCCGGGTATTATGCATGAACTGGAAAGTTATGTTAAACTTTGCAATCAGATTTAGCAGTGAGGAAATACTCCTGAGTTTAGCCCACAATCACTATCATGCACCTCAGAGACCTTGCCGTGGATCGGGCGTATTCAGAAGAAAAATGAGTGATTTTCGATTTTTTTTTACATTAATTTCAGGATTTTCCTTCTTGTAAATTTCTTACTTTAATCTAGGATTTTTTTCTCAGTTATTAACCCTCACCCTTGCTCTATTACGCGAAAACATTTAGGAGAATTCAATTATAGACTACAGACGGGCTACATCTAAGAAACTATCCCGTTAATTCATTAAGATTCCTCTTTAAAAGCGCAGAGGCTGCAGAAGTTACACCCGACGTCATGAAGTTTCTCCTGAAGTTACCTGGATAAGCCGGTTACCTGGCTTCTTAGTACAGGCCACTGGGTTCAATTCCCCACTGTCTGTGACACATCCACCAATGTGTCCCTGAGCAAGACACTGCGACCTCTGACATATCAACTAATTACTCTATATTATTATTAATTTTCTTTAGTTTATTCACAACAACATTAAAACTTGATAAAACATTCTTAACTCTACAAAGTGACTTGTAAGATTTCAGCCACGGACTTGCTTGTTTTACTAACTGCTCGTCTGTTTCTTCTGTTGTTGTTTCTTGTGTTATTAAAAACACAACAGAAATCGAGACTCATCAGACCAGGCAACATTTTTCCAGTCTTCAACTGTCTAATTTTGGTGAGCTCTTGCAAATTGTAGCCTCTTTTTCCTATTTGTAGTGGAGATGAGTGGTACCCGGTGGGGTCTTCTGCTGTTGTAGCCCATCCGCCTCAAGGTTGTGCGTGTTGTGGCTTCACAAATGCTTTGCTGCATACCTCGGTTGTAACGAGTGGTTATTTCAGTCAAAGTTGCTCTTCTATCAGCTTGAATCGGTCGGCCCATTCTCCTCTGACCTCTAGCATCAACGAGGCATTTTCGCCCACAGGACTGCCGCATACTGGATGTTTTTCCCTTTTCACACCATTCTTTGTAAACCCTAGAAATGGTTGTGCGTGAAAATCCCAGTAACTGAGCAGATTGTGAAATACTCAGACCGGCCCGTCTGGCACCAACAACCATGCCATGCTCAAAATTGCTTAAATCACCTTTCTTTCCCATTCTGACATTCAGTTTGGAGTTCAGGAGATTGTCTTGACCAGGACCGCACCCCTAAATGCATTGAAGCAACTGCCATGTGATTGGTTGATTAGATAATTGCATTAATGAGAAATTGAACAGGTGTTCCTAATAATCCTTTAGGTGAGTGTATATCTTATATATCATATCTCCCAGTTTCTTGGCTGAGCCAGTTTTTAGTCTGCGCCCCCGCCCGGCAGCGTGGCGGCGAAAGTCGTGAGGAAGGAGTCCCAAAGACTAAAACTAACACTGAAACTAATAAAAACTAAACTAAAACTGAGCATTTTCAAAACTGCTCAGCCCAAATAACTAAACTAAACTGGCAAACCCGCTTTAAAAACGTATCCAAACTTAACTTAAGTTGAAAACAAAAAGAAACAAAATAAAAACTTACCACAGTCTGACTTCCTGTCTGCGGCTCTGAGCGCGTTGGTTCCTCACGAAGATGTAAATCTTTAAAAACACCTCACAGATATAAAGTTTGGTGTTTAAAAATGCTCAGTAACTTCCTAAAAGAGCTGCTCGCTGTAGTTTTTATTAAACAAACAGGAGGAAAAATTTTGTTGGGGACTAGTTTCAGCGGCGGATGAATCCACATGTGCTCTAGTGAGTATTTGGTGCAGACAAATACAGAATATCACCACACTTACCCTATGATGTCGTTATTCAGATAACATAATTGGGTAGTAGTGTGTAGGACTGTACCGTAGTAGTACGCAGTTTAGCATTAGGACCCTGAGACGGAAGAAAGTGAAGATGGAGGTGAAAGAAGCCAAATCTGTCCTCAGCCTGCAAAAATGTTCTCACTGTGAAGCTGGTTCTCACAAGAACAAACACACACACAGAAAAGTGGTTTCATCAGTATTCCAGTCAGACGAGTTTCTTTCAGTGGGTCCCAGTAAAAACCACCACCAGAGGGCAGCAGAACTGAGTGTGTGTTTAAATATCTGTGTATTTGTGTGCATGTGTGTGTGTGTGAGAGAGAGAGAGAAGCCAAAAAGCGTTAAAGCAAGTATGCATGCGTGATTGTGCAGACAAATGTGTGTGTTTGTGTGTGTGCCAACCTTGTTTGTAGGCCTGTCAGAGTGTGTGTGTGTGTGTGTGTGTCTATGTGCGTCCTGACAAAGGCTCCATCCAGCCATACTGCAGAGGGCTGCTGGTTCCCAGAGACCCTCAGAGCTCCAGGACGCCCAGTCTCTCTCCTGCCTGCAGCCCAGACACAGCAGCCCCGACACGGACTCAGACCCTCGCCCTGCTGCCCCTCCTCCTCCTGGAGCTCCATCACCTGTTTGGATTACTAATGGATGGGAAACACAGAGTTTAGAGTGAGTATTGGCAGTTTAAAGAGACGAGCCTGAGAAGAGAAGAGAAGTCCGGACTGCAAACTTATTAAAAATCCAGAGGACGTCTTAACAAACGTCGGCGTTTCTTCATCATTCAGGAACGTTGGCGGATGCCGAGTTGACAGCTGTCAACTTTGGGGTAATTCAACCAAAAGTCTTCCTTCAATCGACTTTACTGAACAAATTATTGTGTTTTTTGTCAGGACCTCTGAACCAGATCAGAGCCAACGTCAAGCGGGTCGTGAATTTTTGGGACTTTTTGGAAACACTGCTGTGATTTTATTGGAGCAAATTCTGCACTTTGATTCTGGTCTGGTTTGAATCTACCAAATTTCAGAGGCACCTTCCACATCTGAACGCTCATCATGGCTCCGTCTGTCGGTCTGTGGCTGTGTCTGATCCTGCAGCTGCTGTTCACGGATGCAAAGAGAGTTGGGAAACACGACGGCCAGCGCGACGCCCTTGGCGAACCCTCGTCCCGCGTCAAACTGGATCCCCTTTGGATCACCGAGCACCTCAGGAGCCAAGATGGCACCTATGCCCCAAACCAGAGCCCCCCCCTCCCTGAAATGCTGGATCTAGACCTGGACCTGCACCGCCGGCAGGCCCGAGGCGCAGACGAGGAGGAGCAGCAGTCCACATTCAGCCAGTCCTTTGAGAACGATTCAGTGACGACGCCGCACGCCACCGAGTTTGACAACGGAACAAAAGTGGGGCACGATGACGATCATAATGTCAACCTTCATGGAAACGACTCCAGCTCGGACCACGACGCCCCAGGTCTCTTCAACCCCTTCTACCCGCTGGCGGACAGCTCGTACTCGGCCTACGCGGTCCTGTTCCTGGCCGGCCTGGTGCTGGCGGTGGGCGTGGTTGGAAACATGGCGGTCATGTGTGTCGTCTGGAACAACTACTACATGAGGTCCTCCTGGAACTACCTGCTGGCCAGCATGGCATTCTGGGACTTCCTGGTCCTGGTGCTCTGCCTTCCCGTGGTGGTCCTCAACCAGCTCTCCCATAGGAGGATCCTGGGTGACATCACCTGCCGCATGGTGCCTTATATGGAGGTGGGTGGGGCTTATGTGGAAGTAGGAGGGGGAAAGGGAAGTCAGTGTGATTGTTTGAAACTGATTTTTATTATGTAAAAACGCAAAGCGCTAACATGTGCTGGGTTAAATATGTGATTTATCCTGAGGGTGGCGCTAGAGGAAAACATCAAAAATGGAAAGGGTTCATCTTCTGAGGAGCATGAAGGTGTTCAGAGTGATGAACTGGTCATTTTATTAGATGAAAGGTTTGTTCTGATGGTGGCGATGCAGAAAAAGCCCGGGGATCTTTAGCTGTGATCATCAGTCAAACTCTATGTTCCCATGTTTTTGTGTCGTTGTTAATTTTTTGTTACTAACATTTTTTAAAACTGGTCCAGTATTGAGCGAGCTGCAGTCAGCAGCCGGGAAACAGGGCAACATGCTCAGATTTTATTATAAAGTGTGTGACAACATCCTGGAAAGGATCCCTACAGAGAGACCTGTCTTTAAAGAGGAAGATCCTTTTTGTTTAACTAGAAACAGTCGCTCTTTAGCTGTTATCAAAGCCACCAGACTCCCTTGATAAAAAATGTAATTATTGCCAGGTCCATTTTCACATACGAGGAACTTGCCTTGGTGCTTATAGTACACATGAACATAAACAAATATAAATGTATTAAAATTAAGGAGATCAAAAAATGTAGTATATTCAAAAAAGTACAATAATACTATAATACAATGTTTACAAGTAGGTGCAAAAGTTTACAACATGAGCATAAAGCACGGTTGAGCGACTGTTAACGGGTAAAAAAGTCACACAATAACACAAACAAACTAATCGATCGAGGCATCTTTAGAACAGAGAGGTAAAATGACTGTTTTTTGTCAAGGGAGTCTTTGAGGAGAGCTGACACAGAAATATAAAGTACTGTCCTTTCAAATAACTAATCCTGCACCGGTTTGCTCTAAATCTACTGCAGCTTAAATATGTTTTAAATCTGTGTCATTGGCGTAAAGCAGCAGATACAAACAAGCAGGAACCTGAAAGGATCAGAACGTCGACATCTCAGCGCTCGTTCTGAAATGTTCCCTGTTCGCTCTGTGCGCCGCAGACACTGAGCAGTCGCCGTGGTGAACGGTCACTACGGGTGCTGGAACGTCCTGCTGCTGCTCTCACAGTTTGACAGGAACAAATTTGGGGTGAAAGTGTGTTTGTATGATTTGTAACCCCGTCTCTGGCGGCCATATCGGACTTCCTCATCTCAGAGAATAGTTTGAACTGCTTGGTCTGTTCCCAGAGTCAGACAGGCAGCTTTGGAGCTGCTGGAAGGTCTACAGCTTCCCCCCTCTGCTCCCGCTGTTGTGTCTAGACTTGTCTCTGTAGTGGAAACACAGAGATGAAACTGAAGCTCCTGACTCTGAGGGAGGATGGCAAACAAAATTCCCATAATGTCCAAAATGTCGGGGTGTTTCTCTGTAACTCCTGCGGGTGAAGACTGGAAGTCAGAAAGCAGTCAGAGGCAGACTGACTCATGTAGCTTTGGGTCTGCACGTGGGATTGGTTGATTATTAGAGAAATATTAAATAACACCAGTCATTCTTTAAAACGGAGCGTCTCAGGCGCACATCAGGCCTCATCAGGTCGCTCTCTGGAAAACCTTGGTTTAATGTTAAACTGAATGCAGCGTCGGACAAGAGCGGTGAGAGTGAAGCGTCTAGATTTGTGAGCCAACTGACCGCAGACAGACGCGGGCAGATTTCTTAACAGTTTGAGAAACACCTGATCTTTCAGTCACTGTAAGACGATCAAAACTCAGGAGAGGCTGCCTGCTGGGCTCTGCTGTCAGAGGCAAAACAGGAAATGCATGAAATACAAAATAAAATCATGTAGATACTTCTGGTGGAAGCAATTTTGTATTTGATTTATATTTAATTAACTAGTCAACATTAGAGAAAACAATAATTCTATACAGTTTATTGATAATGCATGTAATGTGGGTGTCCATGCCAGTGTCGCAACATGCAGTACTGTTGGAGCATGTTTTGGTTGTTACTTAAAATAATAAAATAAGGTAAAATAATAAACTTTCAAAAGTTTGAACTGAAAAGTCAAATATGTCCATCCATTTATTAACTTAAAAAACCCTTTTCTTCAACAATAAACTAAAGTAAGTCTCCATAATAACGCCGTGCCTCACGGTCACAAACCATGCGCCTCGCCTGAACTAATTATCTCCTGTCTTAAGTTGACTTGTGGCAGAACACAGCGCCACCCCGTCCCAACGCACAGCATGGCGCCAACAGTTCACTGATTCAATAATTCCACTAGTAAAAGTTTCTTATTTACACGTGCAACTGATCTATTCTGTCAAAAACTCTATAAAGCCTAAAGACGTCACCTCATAGAAGTGGTGGTGATGGAGCAGTGGATAAGACACTTGTCTTTGGTGTGAGAGACTTGGGTTCAATCCCCCACTGTGACCCATCCTCCATTGATACCCTGAGCAAGACACACTTAACCCCTCGTTGCTCCTGAGGCGTGCGACCTCTGACATGTATAGCAATTGAAAGTCGCTTTGGATAAAAGCGTCAGCTAAATGTAAAAACAGCTCACACAAGAATAATAAACTACGACATATTACTGTAATCAATTATATTACTTCTGTATTATACATTATTCACATCGTGAGCAAACAATGTCCAAGTTTTCAGTGTTCTGATATAAACTGAGGTCAATTTATTGCGTTCCAAAGAGAAGATGTTGTTTCTAAAAACAAAAGTCTGCTGTGTGCCACCACAGCACCGAACTGCTACAGAAACTACTCACTTTAGTTTAAACTTTAGACTGCACTGCACTATTGGTGCACTATTCATATTTGGTGCTATTTCTGTGGTTGTACAGCTTGAGCACCTACATTTACACAAACTTATTTGTGTTCTTCACGGTGTAATCAAAGTGAATCATTAAAGTATTCAAGGCATAGATGTCATTTACACTGGGGACGCTGGGGACATGTCCCCACCACGTTTGGAAAGCATAATTTGTTAAAATACGTTCTGAAATATGCAGCTTAAAAACAAATGAAAATGCCTTTAGGTTTATTTGCACATTAATAAAACATGCAATGCAGTTAAAATATAGAAGAAACAAATGTGCATCGTCCAAAAAAAGTAACTTAAGCAAAAAAAAAAGCTACTGGTTATAAAATGATCCAAAAACCTGCAGCAGTCAGTAACTTTAACAACTTGTTGACACAGTTTGTTTTTGGCCAAGTTTTGCGTTCTCCCTTCTCCCTTGATTGATCTGTTCTCAACAAGACAAGTTGTAAACGACTGAATAAGGAAGAAGGCGCAACTGATCACACTGTACTGTGATGTCTTACGAGCTAAGTGTCTCTTCACAACCCTAATCTGGCCCCTGTCCCCACCGCTTTTCAACACAAAGTGACGCCCATCATTCAAGGTCATTAGCTGTTGTCCATTCTCTACCTAAATTCCACATCTTTAACTCGAATGGCTCCAAGACGGATTCCCTCTCGAGTTCGTCCCCCATACGCACATATTGATGGTGGTAGTTATTTTGACGGCGAACACATGCAGAACCTAATGCAAGTCAGCCACCTAAGCTTGTCAAGATGCGTGGTGTAGCGAAAAACAAGCGAGAACGCCTTAAATTATGTCCTTATTCCCAGTCCTGACGGTGGAGCTGAGAGTGAAGGCTGGACCGGATTTGGCTCCACAGAGGTGCAGGCAGACCCCTCTCCACCCGAGTTCTTCATCAGTACACAAAGGTGTTTATGTGCTGAGCTTTAGTCGGGAATCACATTGTAGAACGTTTCACAGACTGCTGGCGCTATAAGACTTTACAGATTAGACGTTTTCTGTCAGTGTGGCCATTTTCAAAAACTTTGGTGCCGAGATAAAAATGTCATACCGTGGTGGTTCACATCGTGAGCAAACAACATCCAAGTTTTCAGTGTTCTGATATAACCTGAGGTCAATTTATCGAGTTCCAAAGATGTTGTTTCTAAAAACAAGAGATGTGTCAGTGTCGTCGATTGTGTTTCGCCAAGTTGAACCATATCCAGAGACACTTTCAAGTTCCTACAATTAAATCTACCACAGCCATGAACGTAGCCTTCACAGATGGCAAGTTATAAATATATATATTCATATATACTCATATATTCAGCATGCTATTGGGACCACTAACCTCTGAAATGGTGCTGTGACCGCCCCGGATGTTGTGACATATTGCAGAAGTGTGATGTAATGTAAAACACACAGAGGTGTCATTTACACTGGGGATGTGGGGGACATGTCCCCACAACATTTTAAAATGACAGATTTTTTTACATTTATTCATTTAGCACTTTTATCCAAAACGACTTACAGCTGCTATACATGTTAGAGGTCGCACGCCTCTGGAGCAACGAGGGGTTTAGTGTCTTGCTGAGGGACACAATGGTGGATGGGTCACAATTGGGGATTGAACCCAGGTCTCTCGCCATAACCATCCCAAATTTTGTTAAAACACTTTCTGAAACATAGCTTTCAGTTAAATAACAAATGAAAATGCCTTTAGGTTTATTTGCACATTAACAAAACATGCAATGCAGTTAAAATATAGAAGAAACAAATGTGGATCCCCCCCCCCCCCCCGCAGTTTCTTCTGCAGATCAGTTTCTGCAGGAGAAACTGATCTGAGAGCAGCACAGAATGACTGAGAGCTGCACTCACTTACATTCTCTAATATTTATATACTTTGAAATGTCACCGGCCACCTGAATTTTGCGTTTCCTTTCACATAAATAAAAACATTTCCACCATAAATTGATGCAGAAACTTTCCCCAGAATGCAGGAAATGAAGTTTTTAAAGATCAAAATTTCATTACATTGAGGATATCTTTAAAACTCTGCTTAAGGATCTTTTTGTCTCGTTCTAGTGAACCTAATACCGCGTCATGTGATGTCTCGCGAAATAAGTGTCTTTTCACACCCCTAATCTGAGCCCCTATGTCCCCACCACTTTTCAACACAAAGTGACGCCCTTGAAAACACACAAGAGGGTTTAATATATCGGAGAAGCGGCCAAGATGGCGGCGGTCTAGGGAGCTGTGTTTGGCAACCTAGAGGTTATATTATTAAAAGAAGCACTGATGTGACAAAGAAACTTTACTGTACAGCTAGTTCTGAGTGAACTTCTTAGAGGAAAGAAAAAGGTAAATCTTTGTATCGGAACATCTCTGCACACACAGCTGATGATGCTAATGCTAACATCAGTGCTAGTGAAACTGAAAGTTAAGCTTACCCAGACTGTACAGTTGACTTCTATTACTTCCTAAAAACAGATTTTGTTTCAGCTGAGGGAATGACAGCTTTTGATTTTCAATGTGCAACAAAGGTCTGTTAAGATTTGCTAAAACTGAACAAGAGATGAAAACACTCACTGATTCTTGTCGATGTCCTCGTCTCTGCAGGCCGTGTCTCTGGGCATCACCTCCTTCACTCTGTGCGCTCTGGGTATCGACCGATTCCACTCTGCCACCTCCTCGTCCGAGCCGAAGGCCCGGCGGGTGGAGCGCTGCCGCTCGGTGCTGCTGAAGCTGCTGGTGGTGTGGCTCGCCGCTCTGCTGCTGTCCAGTCCCGAAGTCTTCCTGTGGCAGCTGAGCCAGGCCGTGTCCCCGTCCACCGGCCGGCTGGTCGACTCCTGCACCATCACCCCCTCCTCCCCTCTCTCCCTCTACCTGCCCGACTCCCTCCACTCTCTGTTGCTCAGGTACCACCAGGTGAGAATATCACAGACACACACAGGCTAAACTAAAATCATTATGTCACCTCAAACCTGGACGTAGATCCTTCCCTCTCTTCTTTGTCTTTTGTATTGAGTATTAGGTTTTATTGTGACTGATGATGCATTAAATGGTCGGGTACCAGCCAAGTGTTTCTTATTTGGGGCGGCTGAGTCACCCGACGCTGGAATGTGAAACGGGAAATGACGCGAACCTGCACAGGAAACATCTGTTTGTTATTATAAAGATAGAAATTATAAAGACGAAGAATCTGGGTGAAAGGATGGATCAGCACACGCAGGTAGCAGCGATCGTCTGAGCTACAGAGAGCTGGAGGGGAGGAAAAAGTGGCTGCCTGCTCTCATTGGCTGGATGTGGATGTCGAGTCGGCCGTGCTAGATATCTGGCAGACGTCGGCGACAGAAATGTATCAGAGTGCCGTTTTGATGCATCGTTGTGGAGTTCACACATAAGGACTGGCGACCGCTGATTTACCCCTGATCAGAGCCTGACGGTCGTCAAGCTCGGCAAATCGGGCTTAAAATCATGCAGTGTGAACCAGGCTTTAGATGCCAACTGCTTATCAGAAACAGAAATGACCATTTGCACACATCTTCCAATTAGTGTGCAACCCGCTCCACCTCCTGGGCCACAGCTGCCCCAGGACAGGTTACAGGACAGGTTACAGGACAGGTTACAGGACATGGCGATCTAGGATCATAACTCGTAGTACACAGACACTAACTCTACCTTCTTTTATTGCCTTTTACTGAACGTGATTATGAATGGTGGTGTTGCCTCTGCCAGCTTTGTTGTTCTGGTGTCCATGTGTGGTCTTTTTTGAGGCCAGTTTAATAAGGACCTACTGAAATGGAACCAGGCACTGACCTCAGTCCACAGTTCCGGCCCTTGTAGTTGGCCATCTGAACCGCCAAGCCCCGTGACAGGCTCCTCCATCCAGACAGGCAGGTGCATCTGGTTTTCCACGGTAAAATGTTAGGCCCTTCAGCAACAGCGTTGCCCCTGGTAAAGCTGGCACCCCCTCCTCTGAGCCCAATCTACCCCCACTTGAGAAACGGGGGAGGATAGGCAGGCCCCCAGGCATGCAGACAGATACTGATCGAGAGTCGTGATGTAAAGGCGAAGCACTAAGGTTCAAAGTACCAGAGAAAAGGTAACCAAACAAATCGAATCCTCAAACTGTCCTCAAACAAATCTTGTTTTAAACAAACCTACGTGTTGTAAACATCTCTGCCAATTCACAGATCCACTTCCTGGCTCAGCTTTGGCGTGACATTTCAGGTGCACTCACTCTCACTTTGACCTCCTGGTTTAATTAATCTGGATAAACTTGCCTGATGAGAGATAGAATTTGGTGGTTCAACTGTAGAACAAATTACTCCATGCTCGATAAATATAACAAAGTACTGCACAGAATCAGAAAGTACCATAATATGACTATTACAAACAACAAAAGTATCCCCACGTAAAATAATCAGATTACTCTTGTTTCAGGGTCGCATGTGGTGGTGTTTCGGCTGCTACTTCTGCCTCCCCATCCTCTTCACCATCCTCTGCCAAATGGCCACCCGTAACGTCAACAGCGACTCCAACTCTGCCCAGAAGCAGCGTACCCATGACGACCGCTCCTCCAATCAGAAACGCCAGCAGCACCAGGCGGTGGAGCGGCAGCTGAACTGCACACTGTTAGCGCTGGCCGTGGTCTACGGCGTCTGCGCTCTGCCCGAACACGTGTGCAACATCACGTTGGCCTACACGCACATCGACATCTCTGAGGACACGGCCGCCATGCTGGCACTGTTGCATCACTTCCTCTTGTTCTTCAAGTCATCGGTGACGCCGGTGCTGCTGCTGTGTCTGTGTAAGGTAGGTCAGAGGAAGGCTGGAGTCCAGAAACACCAGGCAGGGTCTTGGAATAATAACTATTTTTGTCAATGGAGTCTGGTAGCATTGACGAGAGAGATGTAGCGACTGTTTCTGGTTAAACAAAAATGATCAAGTCTCTCACTGTAGGAATCAATTGTTTAATGTTGTCAGACACTTGTATAACAATCTGAGCCTGTCAGCGGAAAAGACTTTAATGGACGTCCTCTGAGGGGACACAATTGCTGAGTAGTATGTACCTGCAGTACTGGAGACTGCAGTTTTAGGACCGCAATCTTAGGTCCAGAACTGCATTTGTACCCTATCCTCAACACAGGGTCTGTGCCTAAACTTAAGTTATTGATCATATGCATGTTGACCGGTTAACCCTACAGCTGCACACATCGCCCTCACAGCCAACGTGCTAGCAGACAGGGTTAACCTCAAGCGGGAAGCTTCCGGTCTACAATATGAAGCCGATGCGGAAGTCCCTGAAACCTGCATTCTATTGAAAATCCAGCAGGGGGCGACTCTTCTGGTTGCAAAAAGAAATCTGGCTCCATTAGAAATAATGAGAAAATGTTTCTACTTGTCAGCTGATTTATTCCCTCAGTAAACACTTTCCTGATGAGTTTCTGGTCTCAGTCGCTAGTTTCAAGTCTTCTTCAACACAGCATGATGTTCATTTAGTAAATTATGGTCCCATTTATTGTAAAATAGACCACAAAGCAGAGAATGTTGATTATCTATGATTGACAAGTCGTTACCATGGCGACCTGTCAATCAGGCTAGAGTGACTCGTACCCTCGGCACTGTGTAAATTTAACCAGCGCTGCTGAAAAAGCTTATTAGGAGTCGGCTGTTCACTTTCTCTGGTGAGTACATTTAGTTTTAAGACTGTTCGACAAAGTTATCAGCTCTGTTAAAATGACAGTTAATGTGAATTACAGATGCACCTAGCTAAGCACGGCCATTAGCTCCGCCGTATCGTCAATTCCGGGCACTTCCTGGTTGCAAAAACTCGACATGGCGGCGCCCTATCGGCCAAACTCGAGGCTTCAAAACAGCAGTCCACAAACAAAAAACCTACGGTCCTAGTACTGCGGTCGCAGGATTGCGGGGGTCCTAAAACTGCAGCCTCTGGTACTGCAGCTTTATAATATTGCAATTGCCCTCAAGGATTAGCCCTGATTCGATGCTGCCGACTGCAGCGCACTCGCTCAGTACCAGACAGATTTCAAAAAATGTTGTCCCAGTTAGTCACAGAAATATGTGAAAATGAGGTCCAACTTGAAAAATACCAAAGTTACCCTTTAACGTTAGCTAGCATTAGAAGAGATAAGTGGTTAACCTACAGACAGTAATGTTGTTCTGTAAAGTCATTTGAAACTGACATCACTGACCTGCACGTCGTCGTGTTTCAGGCTCTCGGTCAGGCCTTCATGGACTGCTGCTGCTGCTGCTGTCAGGAGTGTCAGCCAACCACGACTCAAGGCTCGCCAGGCTCCGCCCAGGTCAAACTGAAGGCAGCCAATGAGACGTCCATCTTATTCGACAAGGCTAAAGACACGTCGGCCATTTTGTCCATCTCCAGCTAGAGCCATTGATCCCTCCTTAACTATAAATCCACCACTTCCTCCTCCATAAATCAATCCCGTCCATTCATTCCTCTATTCTACCCTTCAACATTGTTTCTCTTCCATCCTTAGTTTTCGTAAACATCAGTTTCCTTTCTCTTCCCCCCAATGTTACTGTGAATCAGTTCTCTCTTTCTGCATATTTGTTCCATCCATTTTTCTCTCTCTTTCAGAACACTTGTGGATCAATGATCATCTTTATTTCTTTCTGTCATCTCCTCTCCCAGAGTACCATTTGTATGATATCCCTCTATGGACACTGTGTTACCTGCTCCATCTTCCTCTCTGTGCAGGAAGTGATGCTTAATCTGTAGTGAGATTTTAAAAAATGCTGTACTTGCACAACCAGCTGTTTGTAAAAGCAGGAGCCTGTTTCAGGACTCTCCGAATGGACTCTTCCCTCCAACTTCCCGCTGTAATAACACATGATGTGTGCCTGATGATGCCTGAACAACATGGAGGTCTTCTTTGGTCTGAAGCTGAATTTTCTAATGTTTCTTGGGAAAGTAGCAGATACCTAAAGCCTAAATTAGAGCAGCAGGTTAAGTCCTTTACAGTAGCTTGGTGGAGAACATGAAGAAGCTGCTTCAATGCTGAGCCAGAAATAATCAGCCTGGTCTCATCACAGGGCGTCAAGTACCGACGCTTTGAGAGAGTCTGACAAAGGAGCATCTGACGCACAAGATACCCTTCGGCGTCTGTATGAGATGCCCTTTGCTTTTGAGTATCTCCAATGTAACCCATCCGTCATCACGTAAAGTACTTCTTTCAACCCAAAACACAATCTTTTCCTAAACCTAAGCAACAAGTTTTGGTGCCTCAACCGAACCAAATAGTAAATCTACCACATATTAAAAAGCCATTTTTTACGGACATTGAAGGGTGTCTTGTGCGTCAAATACCGACACTTGTCAGGCTTTCTGAAAGCATAGGTATTTAATGCACTCGGATGAGAACAATTAATTAATCTAATCTAAAAAGAAAGTCTGGTATCTATTAACCCTAACTGGCTGACAGGAGTGTACAGTTGACCAATTGTATATTGAAATGATGTTTTAAACACTAGCTGTGGGGCCAAAGGAAAATGACGCTGGTCTATCAGTGCTACATAAAAGTTGATATCTTTGAACATCTATGAACAGCTGTTAATAATTATATGACAACAAAGTTCTCAGTCGTCCAGGTCATAGTTATCCAAGGAAGGTTAAAATCAAGGGCAACTGGACTTGTTGAAGATACTCAAAGATGTTTTCGCTTAACAGATTAGAGATCTGCGACACCACTTATCCCCCACCTACAATGCTGTCCTTTCACCCCTTCCCCGGAAGGAGTGAACAAATGCTCACATTTGGCCATTTGATGGTCGTTCAGACTCGGCCTCAGGTGACTCATAACGACGATTGTCTCAACAGCCAGGAGCACTAACGAACCAAGCAGTATCAATCATCTTGACAACGACCCCACAGAGGTTAAATACCTGGCACTCCCTTCCAGCCAGTCAGAACTGAAGAAGCCTCTCGGATGAGAGACGAAACGTCTTTCGAGTATCTTCAACCAAGTCCAATTGCCCTTGATTTGAACCTTCTTTGGATGAAATTCAGGATAACTCCTAGACGTTTTGGTGACTCTCCTCAACTTTCTTGTAGCAACAAATTTAGGTCAAGATTTACTCTTAACTTGACCTGGTCCCAGGCCTCTAAATCACCACAGATTCAATTAGCGTCGGGAAAACAACCAATCAGAGCTTTGTTGGGGGGAATATGAATGGAGGTATCCTAGTTAACTGTGAATCCGACTGACGCAGCTGTACAAGTTGTAGTAAAGGCTGATTAATGTTTCTAAAAGGAAGAAGATGGAGAAGTGGGCACCGGAGGAGATCTAAAGAGTATTTGAACAGGACTCAGACCCCCTAAGTATCAGGGTGGTCTCTTTGTACAGGAAGTTAAACTGTGTAGGAAGTTGTAAGTGTATTAATATGTGCATTCACAAACTCAAAAAAATAGAACAAATGCAGAAGCAGAAGATATGAATGTAGCTTATTTTAATTCTAGATGTACCACTAATGACATCTTTGTATGAAGGGAAGTGAGATAGTAATTTTTTATGTCACAAGAATGCCTATGCCTTTGTAATGTTCAGTGTCACAGTGTTAAATTCACGGTGTTATAATATGTGTCAGAGCCGACTGTGCCATAGCATCTCCTCTGCCCGGACTGTCACTCTATTGGAACAACACCCAGTAGGAACTAGTCAGACTAACTTTAAGACAGAAAACTATTTCATGATCTGCATCTGAGTAAGTTTTCACCCAAAAGCCAGAGGTGTTTAGCAGGTGTCTGAACGCCTCTTTACCACTGAATCATGACATTTTATTCTAAACTGCCAATCAAACACAGGAAAAAAAAATGAAATACTAGATGTGATCTGCGTGTCTTTGTGTACTCGAGCGGGGTCGATGCTAAAATCTACTGCCTGTCTGATCGACAGCACGCCTTGCTGCCTCATCAGTAAACTTTTGTTTTCTATGCTAACGCAAAATGGAGAATAACTAGCAGATGCTGGTTTTGTAAGATGCAGTCGCCTGTTAGATGCTAGCTTGTAATGCTGTGGATGGCAACTCTAAAAAGAGCTTAGGATTCTGCGACATTCAAATGAATTCAAACTGATTACATGTTCTTTTGAAAAGGTGACAGTGAACCAGGTGGAGCTGGAAAGTACAGCTTGGTAAATTAGCCAGTGCTACACTTAAGGCCAGTTTATACTTCTGCGCTACGACGTAGGTTTCGTGCCATCATGAGCATTTATACTTGTGTGTTGGTGTCTGCGCAGCTCTACTAGATGGCGGTGAGGTTTCTGTGTTCCACTGTGTTGACTGTCTTCTTCTTCATTGGTGTAGGATACTACAAACAATGGTAACTGAAACTGAGCGGATCATGTTGGAGTTGGGGCTGATCGACGTTGAACAACAGCTACATTTAGTGAAATTACTAAAACGCAGAAACGAAAGAAGGTGTCTGAGGAGACACAACGTTTGTACCGGTTGAGGCAGAAGAAGAAGAAGGACAAGCAGGAAATGCGTCGCTACCAAGCCAACCAATCACAGGTCTTACGGTCTGTGTTGGCGTGACGTACCGTTAAATTTTTGTGGAGGAGTGCATCAGGCATAGGGTATGCATAGGCTACAGAGTAGGTTATGATGTAGGCTACGACATACGGTACAGAGTAGGGTACGTGGCTATGCGTTGGGTAAAGTGTAGGGTACGGCGTAGGGTACGTGGCTATGGCGTAGGGTACAGAGTAGGATACAGAGTAGGTTACTATGCTGCACCCTTAAGCTGTAGCCAAGGGTGCAGCATAGATTTGACACAGAAGTATAAATTGGCCTTAAGAGGCCTTAGAGGGTTATAAACTGATTGGGGGATGTTGTCAGTTTCTTTTTCAAGTGACATTTAAGAATCCATCATGATTTCATTTATCATTTTCATCAAAAATAAACATTTTATTATTCCCCATTTGATTTTAATTCATTGGCCATTTTAAAACTACGCCTAACCCTAAAATGGTTTGCTTCTATATTTAGGTAGTGTACCATGGTGAGGAAACTAAATATGAACCTCTGTGTTGTTTAATAACACAGTGAAAAGATAAGGTGCAGGTTGTAATAAATGGGGAACAAATTAAATCCTAAATGTTTCTTTATCAGTGACAGTAGATTTTACCAAAACACCCTTGTTTGAAGTCCCTTCTGTTACCACCCGTGGACAATCATTAACCTCTCACAGAAAACGTTCATACAACTGGTTTGCATCAGCTAAACAGCAATTTGACAGTGATCATGTTTTCATTTGGGTTCCTTTTTGCAGACTGTAAATGTGTTTCTTTCCCGTGGTTTTCCACAATAATTGGACAAAAGAAAGGAACTTTACTACCAACAGCTTGTGTCCCTCTGGTGTCGTGTTTGTGTTGGTTATCAGTGTGAATGAAGACTGGCTATTCTTTCACTTTTTAATAAAGGGACAGTCCACACAGAAAACAAATTAACTTTAGTTCCTGTCTGATGTTTTTTTCCTTTTAAATTATGAGTGTTGTGTCTCTCCCGGTAGTTTTCCATCTTTTCAGCGAGACATACAACCAATCGGATGTAGAGGCGGTAATTTATAAATAAACATGTCATTTAAACTGCAGTTGTGTGGAAAACTCATTGAAGCCACAATCATGAGAGAGAGAGCTGCTCACCACAACATGCTCAGGCTGCTGTTAGTCAACCCTGTATGCTTCCTTTAGGCCTAAAACTGCAACTGGACGTGGGAGGAGCTAATTTGGGCGCCCATGGTTCTGAAAGTTTTTTTTTTCCAGAGACTGATGTGACTCACATCTGGAGCTCCTCTACAGCTTGAAACTCTCCTAGCAGAATCATCCCTACAAAGGATGAACAGTTGTATCTGGCTCTGGGAAAAAGGAAAAGCCGATGCACTTGAAAACTAAAGGAGAGAAGTAAACTGCAACGATTATAAAGTATATACAGTTGAACTGTATATACAGACAGATGGGCAACATTTTGTTTACAACTGCAGCAATAGAAATAAATTAAACTGGTGGTCAGAACGTAAACATATAGGATCAATATCTGCAAAGGGTCTCAGCCATTCAGGTCATTGTTAAACCTACGGAAGGTTCAAATCAAGGGCATCTCGACTTGGTTGAAGATTCCTGAATGGCATGGAGTCGCAGCAATTTAACCTCCGTGGGGTCGTTATCAAAGTGATAGATACCTCTTTGTTCGTTGTTGTTCGGCTGTTGTGACTAGCGTCATCATGGTCACTTGAGATCGTCGTCATCTCAAATGACCATGTTAGGTATCATTGGTATTGTCACATGAAGCCAACCGTTAGGCTTGTTACATCATCCAGCGGAGTCCTGAGTTTTTTATGTTCAGTAAGACTGAGATATCTGAAATAAGAACTCAGTTAAGGAACCAGCGGGCACTCCAAAACCCCTATACTATATGGTATGACTTTTTACCACAGATATGCAGATGAAACTGTGATTTACTTTCAGCAAATGACTTTGGTCCAGTAGACTCATCAAGTCACATCAAGTAAATGATGTGACAGAATGTCCTTCAGTTGAAGACCATAACACCGGGCAACAAAGAGAAAAGCACCTTGACTGCAGGGATATAAAGACCCAGGGTGGGTATCACAAACCACAGGTGATACGACACCTGAGATCTGGCTTGGATACTAAAAACTTTTTTGATTCTCAAATGTCCAGACACAAGCAGCTATGCAGGAACTGCGTCAAAGTGAAATACACAACTGAAACGAACAAAATTCAGATTTGAATCAGGAACTATATGATCAAGGAAGGAAAAGAGATCACAAATCACTAAGAAAGTGGACACCTCAAGGGCTAAACACTAAATGAACACTTTCTGAGGAAAAACACACAACAGGAATAACTGATTTCATGGTCAGAAGATTTCGAGAAACTTGTTAAAAGACTTTTGTCTCTGTTGTAGCTTAATGCTGTAAAGGAGTCCTTCCTGCTCAGAAGAGCGAGGAGGATTTTCCCTCAGCAGAGCTGCTGCGCTGCATATCAATGACCTCACTACTGTCCCGTCGCCATGGGATACCGGCCCACACGCACACACACACACTTGTGTTAATTTAGAAACTCAAACTCTTTTCTGGTTAAAGTGAGTCTCTTTCATCCTCCATCTTTGCCTGGTTACCCCCAACAACCCATGAAGGGGATTTAAAGGGAAGTTAAGAAATTATATTTTGTCCTGCAGAGGGACAGGCTTCCCGACAGGCAGACGGGTAGAATATATTGTAAAAGCTACAGACTGCTGGGACAAAATAATCTGAACTCATAATAGACACAGAGCTGCTTCAGCTGTCATCACATGAACTCTGGTCATGTGACTGACATGTGAAGGGGTCCAAGGTCATCGACCAGGAGTCAGTGCACGACCAGAGGAATCTTCACTACATATCATGTGACTGAAGGTCTTTGCCATCTCCATGAGAAACTATACCCACTGAGGAAGACGTGACTGAAAACTCAGAGAAAGTCATCCAAGTGCATCCAGATGACGTTTCGTCTGGTGTCTGAGAGACTATTACTAAACTCAGCTATTTACCTCAGTGCGGTCGCTGTCAAGCTGATTGATGCCGCTAATGCTCGTTAGCGCTCCTGGCTGTTGTAACATCAGGCAGACTGTGGAAACCTGGACGCCCAGGACCGAACCAAGGACGCACTATTCCATTCAAGGACAGTCAGATAAGAAATGTCCAGAAATGTAATGTCGAAATGGAGAAATCCTTTGTATGACCCTAACATAGTAAAACTCAGTAAATCATTAAACTCAGTAAAACTGTCCGACGGCTCTTACATGCGTCTGTCGGGTCGACATCAGAAAGTCTAAAAGTCTGGTTTACCATCTCCATCTACCATCTTTGACTTGCTTTTTCTGGTCAGTCTTAACATTTCATCTATTTTCTTACATACGTACTTCAGGTATGTGTTTTATACAGTAATTTGGGTAAAGCGGCTCTTCGAAGCCTGGTTTCAGCCCTTCACTGAGTCGGTGAGTCGTGCAGAGAGAGTAAGGAACAGAGTGTTTCGGGAGGCCGGTGATGTTGTTCTCATTAGTAGTGATGAGCGCTCGCCCCTCTGATACAAACTAATGAACAGACCGCCTCTGTTCACTAATGAAGCCACACACACTCAGAGGAGACTAGACCTCCATTGGTCATGCGAGAACGTCTCTGGGACAGACTGGATGGGAACCAGCTGGCTGCAGTTGCGTAACAGGAAGGTCACAGGTTCGAGGCCCACGTTGACCCAAAGCTTACTTTGTTTTGGGCTAGTGTGACTTTTATATTTCATTTCTGTAGAGCTCCCTTGAATAACCCTTAACATCTCAAAATAATAAAACTCACTCAAGCAACATGAACATAACACATGGAATTATACTAAAACTGTAGGCAGCGATAAAGGCGGCAGATTTACCATCAAAATGTCCAGTAAAAGAAAAGGAAACAAAAGAGCAGCTCTGGAAGAGCCAGTGAGCTCTGGTATGCATCGTTTGGATGCTTTACTTTAGAAAGACATACGTGGCCAAAAGGTGAGATTTCTGCTTTAATGTTTCAAACAATGCGTTTCCATTTGTACAAGAGAACAGGGTTGAGGATGAAGGCTAGTTTGTAATGTAACGCTACAGGTACCGAGCGTGATGGAGTTCGATCCTCCGGTCCTGGGGGATTTATTTTCATGTTATCTATGGATATTTTTACTTTTCATGAATACTACACATTGGTACTACTGTTTTCTCTTTACGGTAGCACACTTACTGACGGCAGTGAAGGATACTGAAGTGCATTACATGGACCAAAACATAAATAAAAATACGACTCTGTGTCTGCGATGGACTGGCTACCTGTCCAGGGTGTACCCCGCCTTTCAGCCCCCCCGCGACCCTGTACGCAGGATAAGCGGTTGACGAAGGATGACACTGTGTCTCATAATTATGAGACAACTGGAAAGGTGCCACTGCACAGCAACAGAAAGTTATCAGCTTGATAATAAAAACGGTTTTACTACAATGTTGGCAGACTAATAATCATTTTGTAATTATGACATCTTTTCTCATAATTATAAGATCCTGATCTCATAATTACTACATCTTTTTCCGTAATTATGAGATAAGGTGCCTACTTTTTTTCCTTCTTTAGTGAATGCAATAAACAGGTTGAGCGTCGGGGTTAAAAGCAGTTTACTTGACATCATCCTTACTGGATTTTACTTTTAAACGCGCTTTAAAACATCAAGGTTAATTAATCGTAAAGGCTCCGCTACACAGAGTGTTTCTGTTGCACGGAACGAAACTGTTGCAACTTGCACAAAGGAAAACAAAGTTAAACAAGCGGTGCAGAAGCTTCAAAACTCTGTCAGAGGGACCAAACTGTTACGCTTTATTTCCACCACAGAAACGGCTGAACTCGGCAGCGTGCAGAGCAAAGGATCTGAAAAGGACCTTTAAGAGGTGGATGCATAATTCGGCAGAACAGATGATGAAGGCTACCTGCCCAGATCTGCATCCACCTCTTTTCTCATGAGCGTTACCAGCAGCGAGGTGCATGAAATTCTCAGCAGGCGTGCAGAACTCCTGACAGCAGAAACAGCTGATCAGTCGTGAGTTACAAGTTCGCTACTTCAGAACTTATTTGGAAAAGATGTTTCCAACTCCCATTTAGCGCATTTACTCTTTCTCGACAAAGGCTAAAACAACCTCTAGTCAGCGTAAAAACCTTTATTTTGCCGTTTCCATCAACCTTTTCTAATGCAATACTTCACAAAGCAGGTGTAACTTTTCCGCCCCACCACACCGACAGCACAGCTGCGCTGAGGCCCATTATTTTCAATGACTTGTGCCGCGCCAGGGCGGTTCGTTGCTGCGTCGAGCAACACGCACTGCACATCAAGATCGAGCGCACGCCGCGTCGTTGAAGTCGTTGAACTTCCAGCGCAGCTCGCTTCTTTTCTGAACAGGCCTTTCTAGAAGAACCTAACCTAACCTTCTAGAAAGGCCCGTTCTAGAAAGCGACTAATTACACCAGGGTGGGAGACAGTTTTTTTTCATACCAAACCACATTAACTTTGTAATCGCATCCCTAGTCTTAAAGGGATACTTTGCGATTCTGCAGAGAGTTTGTTGATAAACAAACTCATGAACGTGCATTTCCATGGGAACCAGTCCTATTCTGCTGAAATGCAGCAGAATCCACAGCGTCTGCTGTCCGAGAGCACGTTAGCCTCAATAAGAGGGCATGTTTTAGCAGCACTCCAGCATTGAAACCCCTCATAGGTCTTCCCCTTGCCTGGTCATATAACTTGCTTCACAGTTCCTCAAACCTTTCCCTCTGTGGCTGTTTCTCAGCCATCTTCACAGCTAAAGTCCCGTAATGAGTCCAGCGTGTTCTGTTTACGTTCTATCTCCCACTGCATCGAGCGCGCCACCGCCACCTGCTGCTCACTCCGAGCAGCTTTGACCCAGGGGCTGTGCAGGAAAACCAGATTTTTTTTCAGAGCACATGAAAAACAGAGAGCTACCGACCCATCAAGAAATATTCGCCAAATTAAAAATTATTATTAATTTATTAGATAAGAATCGCAAAGTATCCCTTTAAGTAAACTTAAGTGCACGTACTGTGCTGTCCCACCTGTTGATCTCCATCTCTGATAAACACAGTGAATATAAACTGCTCTTTTAAATCCAAACTATCAAGCAGATGTGGGGAAGATTTTTTGAATCCTTTTCTCTGTAACTTCGTGTGAAACTTTCTCACTCGCCGTGTGAACGCTGCGGACATGAAGTGTGTGTGTGTGTGTGTGTGTGTGTTTCTCTGAGCTCAATGAACACAAACTAATCTGACCTGAATATCTCACACACACACACACACACACACACACACACACACACACACACACACACACACACACACACCAAACCAGGAGCACAATGGTTGGTTTTGTTCTGTGGGAAAACTGATGAGGGAAAAGGACAGGGGGGGGGGGTTGGATACTGTTGTCATGACAACGAGCACAGGGTCGTCGATGGAGAGCGAGGTTGACTCTCATTGGGAACGAACACACACACACACACACACACACACACACACACACAGAGTGGTGGGACCACCTTGTGCTGCAGACAGGAAACACTGAGGCCTGCTTCTTCTTTGTTGGTGGGTATAAAAGTAGCTCTGCACACACAGTGAAAGAAAAGGTTTTGCCCACTTGTTGACAGGAGAGGAAAGAGGAGGGAGGGACCGCGGAGGAGGAGAGGATGGATGGATGGACGGAGAGAAGAAGAGAGGAGGACTTAGTTGAGAGTTTTTATCAGTGCGATCACGTCACAGCCGAACGACCAGCTTCTCCTTTTGGTTTCTATACTTTTTTTTTTGCTTTTGAATCGCTGAGAGAAAAAAAACTGAGCTTCACACTCTTTTTTTTTTTCTTCTCTCTCTCTCCTCTAAACTGGCAATTATTCACTGAAATAAAAACCCTGGACAAAAAGAGAGCTGTTGGTGTGATGTAACAGCTCCTCTGCTGCACTTTATTCACCAAATGTTTTCAGCTATCTGTCCTTCATCAGGCTGCTTCTGCCTTCCTTACATGTCTTTTATATATACAGTATAACGGTACAGCAGTCTCATAGACATTTTACTTACTTTTCAATGCAGGACATTTACTTGTGATGCAGTATTTTTACAGAGTGGTGTTGAATACTTCCTGCAACACTTCCTTTTCATTGAAAACCCCTGATTACATGCAGGAACATTTGTCGTTGCTTTCAGGTGTAACCAGTGAAGTCACCCCCTTACCTGTGTACGTCTCAGAAGGCGAGCTATGATTGGTCGGGGTCCAACGTCGCCTTCAGCCAAGTCACAGCCAAAATGTATTACTCCATGATCACTAGAGACAGAATCACAGGCTTTTCTCCTGAAGAAGCAAATATCTGCTGTTAGAACGAGCGGGACCACAGCTGTAACACAAAGTCATGCCACTGTCAAATATAAATCCTGCACGCTGTATACAGACTCTTTTCATGATTAATTGACTAATTAGTCAATAAAATGTCAAGAAATTGTAAAAAAAAAAAAAGCTCATCACAATTTTCTTCAAAGTCTTTAAATTGCTTCCTTTGTCCAACTAACAGTCCACAACCCAAAGACTCATCATAAATGACAAAAAATCGCAGCATTTCCTTACATTTAAGAAGATTAAACAAGGAATTTTCCAAATTTTTGCTTAAAAAAATGACTGAAACGATTATTCAGTTATTAAAATAGTTGATTAATTTCCTTGCAATCGACTAATCGTTGCAGCTGTAGTACATACGGTATATAACCACCTACTTTATGTATATAAAGTTCTTTTGTACAATTTGTACAGAGACACGTACGCATGTTATAGTTCATTGATGATTTATACGTATAGCATAAACCTATTGTTGACCTGCTTGTACATCACAGCTGTATGTTTATCTCTCTTTGATTTTAGCTGCACATTTCCATCCTTCTGTAAACTGTCCGTTTAACAGACTTCTGGCATGTATGCTACATTCTGACTATGTGTGCTATGTTGCCAAATAATTGTCAATAAATACAAATCAGAAAGTTGGACGGCCTTCCACTGTCAAACATCTTGTTCCCCAAACAGGAAGAAATCTAACCGGTGCTACCTCCACTACCTATTACATAGGTAATATTATATTTTAGTTCTACCATATACTTCAGCCTCTTTTATAGAAAAGTTAAATAATAAAATTTTCATGGCATATGTGCAGCCTTGTTTATTCCCTGCCTCCATGGAAGCTGCGCTGAACGAAGCCATAAAAGGTTCCTTAGATAGAAAAGATCAGTTTACTTTTCTGATGACTGCATCATTGCATAACTCATAGATATCAGACAAGCTTCATTTTTGGTCTAAGATGCTAATCAAGATAAAATAATTAAGATAAAACATAAACATATTACTTTTACTTATTTCTTTCAAACAGCACATTTTGGAGTGGCCTTTTATTGTGGCCAGCCTAAGGCCTTTTATTGTGGCCAGCCTAAGGCACACCTGTGCAATACCCATGCTGTCTGATCAGCATCTTGATATGCCACACCTGTGAGGTGGATGGATTATCTCTGCAAAGGAGAAGTGCTCACTAACACAGATTTTCACAGATTTTGACAGATTTGTGAACAATATTTGAGAGAAATAGGCCTTTTGTGTACATAGAGAAAGTCTTAGATCTTTTGAGTTCAGCTCATGATGAAAAACAAAAATGTTGGGTTTATAATTTTGTTCAGTGTAACTTGGTTGCAGATTTGGTAGATGGTAGATTTTAAGGCACTTGGGCCGTTGCTATTGGGCTGTAGAGCACTGACAGTATGGTGTAGAGGCAAACTCTCCATTTATTTGTTCATTTTCCAAATACTTATCCAGACTTACCAAAATCTAATTCCATAGTTTTGCACACACTGCGCAGGAACCCGCTGTGTTAACAGTCTGAATGAAAGCTGACGGCCTTCAGTCTGACTGTGATGGTGATTGTCATCAAGCGGCTGAACTGCTGAGCTCAGCTGCTGCAGAGACAAATTAGTCTGAATCTGATCCAACACACACACAGCCTTGTGTTACTATCTTTGCGGGGACCGGTTGCTGACATAATGCATTCCCTCACCCCTAACCCTAAAACTTAACCTTCAAGCAGCCTGTGTTCACAAGTAACTAGTTACATGTAATTTAGTTACGTAATTTAATTACAAAATAAATGTAATCCATTACAGTGACTGGGTAATGTAATGTAATTAAATTACAGTGACACATGGAAATATTCATGATTAAATTGGGGGTTACATCTGAATATATTCTGTATATCTGTATAAAGCTCAGCTATACGTTGAATAAAATTCATTTTGCTGCTTTGCATGTTTTTAATGTGCACAATCTCCAAAGCCGTTTCCAGAAACAGCTGTTCAGTTAAGTCTGATGGTGTTCTGAGGCTTCTGATTGTTTAAGAATATTCAGGGAAAGGTAAGACAGGTGTAGCTTGGAGTCATTAGCGGTCCCCACAAGTGTTCACTGACCTTCCAACTCTAGTTATCTCTCACATGTAACTGTCCTTGTTAGGGAGACAACAGTTAGACTGATAAGGTAGAGATTAGCTCAGGCGTCAGGCTAGAAGATATCAGTGTTGTCTGGGAATCTCACAAGAACATTTACAAGAACTCCAGAGATTAGAGAACAACTCATAGATTGTAATAGATTCCAATATGATGAAGCATTGGGGTCTAAACATCAGACAGATTTGTTGTTCCAGTTAAAGAAGGAACTTGGGGGGGGGGGAAGCATATAAGGGCCAAAAGATGTTCTCCTTCAGATAGGGTGTTGGCATTTGACTGTATCTCCTCGGCCGGGCTCAATAAACCACGTTATGTAACATTATTTCTCCAACACTAATTGGTTCTCATGTTTGAATTTGCACCCGTCTGCCAGTTAATCTGCCTCTCGAGCTGTCTTTTGAAAATGGTTAACAGCGCCACCTTGGTTTTAAATCCTCAAAAAACTTGGTTCAGTGTATCATGCATCTCTACGCTTCATTACAAATGCAAAGTCCCTCATTCACCATTGTATTCTTCATGAGGGTTAGGGTATATGATAATTTACAAAAAGATCTTAAACTACAGACGTGTATCTCAATTGATAAATTTAAGGGCGTCGTAAGGAATGTGGTGAAGGAGACATGTGGTTGTTTTTCTCGAGAGGCCATTGTGTTTGAATAGATGTGGGTTTTTTTGTGAATTTTGTGAATTCTGTCATGATTGTATGTAGCATTTTAATATGTTGTGTTTATGTATGGCTGCTACCTTGGCCAGCTCTCTCTTGTAAAAGAGAATTTTGATTTCAATGAGAAAGGTGAAAACATTAACTAGAAATTTTAAAAAATGATGAAAAAGTAATTAAAATATGTTACATTACTTTGATTAAATAGGCTAACTTGTAATCGGTAACCTATTACATTTCCAAAGTAACTTTCCCAACAATGCAAACAGCCCTTTACACTTGTGGGTTCCAGCATATTGGCCCCACAAGTTTATTGGAAACTGGGTTTTTGGACCCCTAAATATAGTAAAAACACACAGCAAACTCAATCAGACACATTAACACAGACGCTGTGAAAGGAAACACTGATTTGGTTTGGTGTGTGTTTGTGTGTCTGCTGCCCCCTGCTGTCTCATTAGCCACACTGCTGGTCTGACACTTCAACATGATTGGATGGAGAAGCTTCACAAAATATTAACCATCAGCCATGTTGTTTTGTGTCTTCTAGTGTGTGTTTTGCTTTTATTGACTCAGTCTAACCTGGACAAAGGAGCGCATTTTTCTATGCATGTTATTGATAACACTGTAAAATTAAACTGACTGATACATCCATTAATTATTACCAATAATTCCAAACAGAGATAAGGAATGCCTCAATGTTATTTCTCCATAGTATTTAATTAGTATCATACACAAGCATGTTTCTATTAAAACACATTATATATCAACTGAATCAAACAATAAATGTACAAACAGGTTCAGGCTGTGGGGCCGTCTCAGCGTGGTCAACCTGCATGTACAAACCACAACACAGGGTCAGCGACAAAACCACAGAGATCCAGTCAGAACCGCCTCAGAACGCTCTAATTTACCTTAAGTTTGGTTGCTCATTAGAGAGCAGCTGAATTTTAGTTTCGTGATTTCTTCATTTCTTTTCGGGATGGTCCATATAAATTAAACAAATACACTTGACTCTTGCAATTAATTTGGTCAGTAAGCTCATTTTAGATTAGATGAGATTTAATACCATACGTTTTAAATGTAAATGCATTAAAAAAGGCTGAGAAAATTTTCAATGACAATTAAGGAAACTCCATCTGCTGAGGAGGACTGTGTGTTATGAGTGAAAACTCTTGAACAAGAATTAACTCTCACGCTGAGCAAGGTTTCAGTTATGGAAGCTGTTTAAAAGAGAAGAGTCTGCATTACACGCATTCAGGTAACTTTTCACAGTACTAGCAGTCTGTGAAAGAACAATAGCTGTTTAGTCGTCAGGAATATCCTTTCAAAAGGTCCAAGGTTTCCATTTGTTCCCAGCCTAATGACACTTGGCTTCCATTTGGTTTTGTTAAGTTCAGTCTGGATTTTGTCATATTTTGGAGCCGACTCTGTAGGAATCTCCAGGTTTTGACGAGTACATGACCGTACAGGATGATCAAGAAACATTTTACATCACATCCTGTACAGTTTCTGTTTGTACACGCAGGATCACAGGACGTTACACAAAAAAAAAAATCTGGTCAGAACTTTACATTACAATGACCATATTCCAGTGAATTCATCTGTGAGAGCGGTACTGTAAGCACACCGTCATTATCCTCAGGCACAAAGAAGTATGTAATAACACGGTCTAATCACAAGGTTGATACTTCTGTTTTATTGCACTGTTTTTAGTACATTTCATATTGTGTACTTGCATTACTTTTCTTAATACTCGACACACTGGATTAAGGCCATTTTTTGGTAAAGTCGCACCAAAATAACCATTAATTTCATCAGGTCCTACAGATATACAATCCCTGCCCTCAGCATGCAAACAGAAGAGACCAGAGCCAATCAGAACAGAGATTTCAAGGTCCAGTCATTCGACCTGATAACCAGGAGGGGTCATCCTACTTTATTAGACGCCTGGTAGGCTGGTTACCAAGTCAAAGCGCATCTCAGAGTTTACCATTTGCAGTGACTGTTCAGGTATTATGTCCTTTTTTCTGTATTTTTCCTGAAAATAAATGTGGAAAATGTGGCTTTTGAGGCCACAAACATTTCTAGTATTTCTTCAAATCACAGGGTAGAGCGACCTGGTGGCCTTCAGGGGTCAGCAGTATGCTTCAAACTAAATGCTTGTCGAATCATCGGATGTTGCAATTTGGTGGCACTGCGTCCGTCAATCTACGTAAGTTTCCGAAACCATCAATCGCGCCAAGTGTCCGCAGCAACTGGCCAATTGTGTTGAGCTCTGATTCATTCTTTACGTCTAAGATTGCGCGGTTATCCCCAAATGTACGATTCTTCACATCTCGCCCCTCTCTTTTTCTGCCTTCAGACGTGTTCGAAGACTTCAGTATGCCATAACACCCCTGTGAGCTCTCTGCTGGATATCATCAAATAAAGGCAAAAGATCATGAAAAAGCTGAGACGTGACTTTGAAATTCCCTTGAAATCTGGTCTGTCTGATGGCGTCATTAACAAATAATCACTGTGCTGGCTGATCAACAGATCAATGAATTTCAAGTGGACCAGAATGAGGTCCGACAACAACTCTTCACTGGTTCAGAAGACACCAGAGCCTGAAATCTGAAGCAGCTGGAGAGCAAACTGAGCCATTTGAGGCTGAAGGAGATTCAGTTTTATTTCTTGGTGATGGTCCAACTGGTGCGAGTTGTGCTTGTGGTTTTCTGGCATTTGATCAGCAGCACTGGACCTTCTAGCGCTTCCAGCTTAGTAACACAGCTCCTTCAGATAGACGGCTCTGGGTAGTTAAGAAATAAGCAGCTTTCCACTGTCGGGCTAAAGAGGGGAGAGCAACTGTTTATGTAGCTTCAGCATCGCTGCTGGAAACCTAATGTTAGAATCATGTGGCCTTCTGCTTGGAGGATTCAGTCTCTGCTAAAAAGGTGTTTGATTCTGTCAAGAAAAACAAAAGGACTTTCTCAATAAAGAGTATGCCAAGACTGATTTTACGTTGTTGGGAGACCGATTTCGTGTTGTTGGGAATTTGATTTTGCGTTGTTGGGAGTTCGAAATCGCAATCTAGGGTGTTGCAATTTGGCATGCAGAATTCGGGAGTCCTAACCCACAAGAAAGCTTTGTCTGTAACTGGCACAGCCTTCTTGCTGACGTCACCAGCTCTGCTCAGGTGGTTCACCACGCTACAGATCCCCACGTCTCCAAAGATGCTGAGCAAATCCAACAGGCATGATTTTTGATAAATCAACCACATATTTGAAATCTAAGCTGTTCATTTTTCGCCCAAAAAAATGTCAAGACTAAAATTGGTAGGTTACAGTTTTAATTTTTATTTATTTATTTATTTTATGTTCGCTGCTAGTCGATGTGAAATGCAAACTGGGATACTCGTTTTCCCCAGGTTCACACAAGTCTGCTACCAAACCGTCTTATAAAGCTGTAGCAATTTGTCATTTAATAGATTAGCAATCAACAGAAAGCGTTTTTGTCTCAATATGAACTCTGACATGGGACGGTGTTTGGGCCGTAACTGACTTTCACAAGAAAACAGGAATGCAGACTGAGGAAGGCCTCAAGTCTCTCGTGACCCTCAATTTGAAGCCAGGTCGACCCTGTTTGGCCCGACAGTGTAAAGCAGGTGAGTGTGAGCTAGCAGAATTAATCTCCCACACTGTTTGATCACTCTTTAACAAAATGACCTTAGTACAGAACAACAGACATACAGGTAATGCTCCTTTTGTTGACTGTTCTGCAGTCTGATTGGCTGCTGTCCGGACCAGGATGTGTCAGAACGCGATTTGAACCAATAGGACGACAGATCTGACCAAGTTGTTGAAATTACACAAAAAGTGATACAGTGTAAGTAGTGTGGAACTAGTGTAAGGATGTAAGCGAGCGTAATGCGGACGATGATCTTTGCATGAAGCTACGTGCTAACATTTTGTGACTCAAAAGGTTTAATGAAAACCTTTAAATCAGATTTTCATTGACATTTCTTTAAAAACTCTTAATTTTATTACAGACTAGAATATTTTGGATCACCAGTATATTTATATAATAATTTTACTGCCAAAACTTGCTTTCAGTAATTAATCTTGTTTTGTTGCAGTTGACTGGATAACTAAACTAGCTAGCTAAAGGTTTTAATGCTTTAAGATTTGTTGCTACCATTCACATCAAAAACATTCACATTCACCATAAGCTGGTGGTTAACTTAGACCAGCTGTAAAAGCACCAACTGATTATATTAATAACAAATAAATGGATAGAGCAGATTTCCTTGTGTAGCATCATTCAGAGACAGCTTAGTCCAAACTCTGGTCTTAAACCGCATTCCTGTCATGTCTTGTTTGTCATGAATACAAACACTAATTTGTGTGGAAGTCTATGGCTGCTAATATTAAAATGTAATCATTTCCATTTGTGTATGCAGGATGTATGACAATTTTTATTTTAAAAATCATGTTTGAAAACTGCCAAAATTTGAAAACTGTACTGAAGCTTAGCAAAATCTTATAATAAATAATTAATGATAATGAAAATACATGTGTTTTTAAATTGTCAATGTGCAACTGAAACTTCAAAATTACATTTTAGAGTTTTTATCCCCTGAAATTGACAAACATGAAAATTCCTTGTCACATTTAATCATTAGAAAAAAGCTAAAACTAGGATGTAATGTAGTTATTTGGCGAACATTAAAATGAGAATTTCATTATGTTTTAATTCTGTCACACATCATGTGCACAAAAACTATTAATTCATTTTATCTCAATATTGGCAGCCACAGGCTTCCATATTCATGTCGCCTTCTTGTGGTAATTAAAAAACAGGAAGCGGACATTTTCTTCTCGAATATTTTGAGGAAGGACGAGAGGCTGATTTTGACCTTGTTATGCAGAGGGAACAAAAATGTATTTTGTTTGTCGCTCCTCGTGTCACAAATCATGAAAATGTGTTTACACGTAGGCGTTTCAGCGACTCAAGCATTGCTCCATATTATCCGACATGATGTGAAGGTTGCATTTGATCACGTGACACCCCGGGTCCAATCAGCAGACGTGACAGAGCAGAAAACACTGACCTCTGGCTCACATCCAGAGTAGACTTATGAAGTCAAACGAAAACAACAACAACAACAATATAATAAAAAATAATATAAAACAAACAGGAAATAAAAAGCTTCTTACAGACATATGAACAGAAACAACAACATTTCTCCTTCTCCAGTTTAGAGTACCGCTTCCTTAAATCTGGACAGACCAGGTTATGTCACAATAAGAATATTATTAACATTATTCTCGTTATCAATATCTTACAAAACCAAAATCAACAGTGCAATAAAAAGGTTTTTAATCCCTCGCTCGGCAGGAGAGAGAGAGAGAGCCAGACGACGAGCGGTGGGGGCTTGGCGAGGAAAGAGAGAAAGAATGTAACATCCAAAAATAAGAAAAGGAGGAAGGATAGAGGGATTACAGGGGAGGACAAGCAGTTCACAACAGACGAGGGGAGGAAGAGGGGCTTCTCAGGATAATATAAATGTGAAATAATGGCGGGTGTGGATGGATGGAAGGAAGGAAGGATGGAACATGTGGAGGTAGAAAGGGAAAATGGAAGGGGAGGAATGAAAATCAACAGGAGGCGGAGAGGGAAGAGAGGGGAAGTGATGAAGGCAGATTTGTGGTTACTGGCTAAAAAAAGGTAAAGAAGGTTGGAGGATTATGGGAAAAGTTGAGGAAGGGTACACATCCACAAAACAGGCTCCAGCTAACCGGCTAAATGTGGATTTTTGGCTGATTTGAGGATCATGATGGAGGCTGCTGTGTGGATGTGTAAAGATGCGCTGACACCACTTCTTCTGTCGCCAGTTTCAAATCACTCACACGGCCGATGGCTTTATGCAAGCGATTCAGACTCAAATGTAAAAAGCCACTTCACCCAAATGACATATAAACACATTTTTCTCCTCCCTCTTGGTGGTTTTGGTTTTATTCATCCGGGTTTTCAGACATCTTCCTCCACCTGGCGAGGAAATACTCCCAATAATAATTAAAAAAAAGAGTTTGTGCTTTATAATTTGGGTGAAATGGCCCTTTAACTGCTGCATAAATAAACCCCGTGGCTGTAGCTGCGGTGTTACCTGTGAGACACCTTTGTAGAGAAGCCTAAATCAGCCATCAGCTGTTGGTGACCTGAACTAACACGGGCTGAAAGACAAGAATTCAGATCCCAGTACTTCTTTGGCATCCTCCTGTCAAAACTTGCTCCACTTTCCCGGGAATCTTTTTTAGCATGTGGGCGCTTATGTGCTGGTGTACCGAAGAGTATTTTGTATGTACTGAAATACTTCTGCAAACCAACTCTGTGTGGTTGTCGTTGCTTTTTTTTAATACTTCAATAAAAAACAAGGTATCAGAGCATCTCAAGGTGTAAGGGGACTGTGGGGAGGAGGGGTCAGCAGGTATTAATACAAGGATGGGGTAGATGGAAGGATGGGAGGGTAAAGTTTTGATCAAAGAGCGGCTGTGTGTGTGTGTGTTAGGACAGGTGGGCGTGGCCTGTTCTGTTGGGGGGGGGGGAGGGGGGGGCGTGTCTGTTCTCAGGAACTCCTCTTAGTCCTGGAGTGCTGGATCAACCACTGGAGAGTGATGTCTGCAGAGAGAGACAGAGGGGGGGGGGAGGGAAATTATCTTCATCAATACATGTGACGGGGCTAAAAAGTTGGAGATTGTTCTGTCAGACATGCAAGACGTGTTCCTGATGTTCTGCAGACGCCATTAATATCCACGAGGAGCGGAAGAACGTCACCTTGATGGCGCGTTGGACTTCCTCCGAGTGCTCATTATATTCTCTTTCTTGCAAATACTTAAAGCTTATAAATAGACGATATTTTGCATCCTTCAAAAAATGTGTTTGTAAAAGTGAAATATTGCTCCTTTAAGAGGGGGTCTCGGCACGCTTTCAAACGAACTCTGGTGCGGTTTCGCTTGTGGTGTGAAAGCAAACCAACCAGCCACGGGATTTCATCATAGCAGACTTGTGATCTGAGCATTATTTCAAAAGCTAAACCACCACTAATAAATCCATCTGCTGACCGCAGAATGTGCTCAGTGATCTAATAACTGATCTGTGTAAGCCATGCTGTGTTTATGAAAATCATCTGGTAATGTAGGCTATACTTGTCAGCGCGGGTATTTTCCATGATTAATAGTTCAAAGGCTGTTAAAAAAGGAGTGCCAGTAGTACTCCCTCTTCCCTGTCAGTTCATTGACAGCGACCCCGCAGTAAACTACAGACTAATAAGCCCCGATTTATTACTGTACATGTCGTTATTCATACAGGCTCTGCGGTTGATCTGCAGTCTGACATTATCATGCTTTTAATAAATTATCACTTCTTGAGCTCTTTGCGATACAGATCAGAAGCATTAAAGTGCTGCAGAAACTTCTATATGTCACCGCAGTTTGATTTCCCCACGCGGGTCCTGACGACGCAGGATGACAAACGCCACAGCTGTCCAGTCAACAAGTTACCTGTCAGTTTGTGTAGCGTCATGCCTACTTCTCTCGGTTCGTTTGTAAAACTGCACTGTGAACATGAACCGGACCAGAACTAAAATGCAGCCGTGAATCTTTCTTCTTTTTTTCCCCCACTTGGTCCGGATCAAATGAACGGAACCACGGGTGTGAAAGCCCCCTTAGAGGCTTTGATTCAGTCATCAGTGTAGCGGACAGCTGACTCCTAAAGCTTTTCCTGTTCTTGAGTTCATGGTCTTTAAAAGCAACCGAAGCAGCAGAGTGAGGCTGATCCACGTCTAGCAGTTCAATCTAAGGACGTCACGTCAGACTGCGAGGCTGGAGGTGAGAGTGTTTCATCTGCAGGCGCTTTGTTTGTTCACTCATTTTTAACTGCAGTCAGGAATGTTTCGGCTCGTTTAACTCTAGCACACGTGTGCTGAATGCATGACGCAGTGAACGCTCGGAGGAGTTTTTGATGCAAAGTCGGCGAAGTAGCTGATCGATAATGTCTGCTCGCACACCGTTAGAACAACAATTAAGATATCACTGTAGACGATACATATCATACACCCCTACTTATACACAGAACAAAGAGTGCTAAATGAGTCCACATCTGGTAGACCTACAATCACACAGTGAAGCTCCACTAACTGCATTTCCTTCCCCTTTCCTGCTTTACAACAATAAAAGCTGGTTTCCTGCTGGTTTGCCAGTACAAAACATTTTAAAATGTTGGGTTAGCATCAGCAGTGACCTGTAAACAGTCTAATAAGACTACGATGTGAAACTACAAACAGGAGCGCAGGCAGGAAGCTGAAGTTCAAACCACAGAGTTTCAGTTAGTCGTTAGTCTCCTCTGTGACCTCAGTACTCGCTGTGTGACTCAAACACACCACAGCGCTTTATAATACTGACTGGATTCTCTGGAAGCATTTCATCCTCCTTAAAAAGTGATGCTGCAGTTTAACTTTTACCTGGTTCAACCTTTTTGCACGACGACCTGAAATTAATGAGGCTGCTCTCACACAGTTGTGATATCGATCTGAACACAACATTAGGGTATAGGAAATGTAAACCTATTATTTCTAAAAGTAAAGTGTGTGTGTTGTGTTGTGTACCGATATTGTCTTTCTCCTTGCAGGAGATGGAGTAGCAGCAGATCTCTCTGTCCTGGATGGCCGACAGGTTCCTGATTAAAACGCACAAACAGGATGATACAAACACACATTAATGCAGCAACAATAATAAGACCGGTTTCCCTGTTAATCTATCATAAAGAGTAAAGTCCAGACTTGTGTCGGACACCTCGGCCTGACCCCAAAGGGAGGAGCTAGTGGAGTGACAGCGAGAGCAGACACAGCTGTATGGAACAAAACCAAAAACATGTGGCCAGAAACCAGCTGCAGGAGGCTGAAGGTCGGTCCAGCCAGCGTAAACAAGCTGCATGCACACTGATCAGAAAACCTCAGGTCTGAGCCAGAGTGTCGACTTACATCCTCTCTATCAGCTCCTTCTCATCCAGGGCTCCTGGTAGGTCCCTCTTGTTGCCCAGAACCAAAACCTGAGGACACACAGGTGGAACATAAACTGGCTGAATACATCAGAGAATCGAAAAACCAAAAGCATAAAAAGAATACTGAATCATGGAGGAAGGCGCAGAGACCCCAAACCACAACGCTTTCAGACCCCAATTACACTTTAACTGGAGTTATACTTCTGCGTTGAGTCTACGCTGGAGCCTACGGTGTAAGCTACGTGTTTATACTTGTGCGTAGGCGTCTGCGTCGTTCTGCAGTTACACCTCCAAAACACTAGTTGGCTTTACAGCATCCATGACTGTATTCAGGGTTCTTGCGCCATTTTTAAGGCTTTTAAGACCTCAACAAATTTAATTATATATAAATTTAAGTCCCCAAAATTTTTAAACAATTTCCTTGATAGAAAAGAGATGCGCGTTCTCTCTTTTAATGAACGAGGCAACGCCATATTTGGCAGTGATTTTCCCCTGATTTTATTTTAAGCCTTTTTAAGGAGCTGCAGGAACCCTGGTTTTGACTACACTAACTTGAATGCGGGTAAAATGAAATGAAAATAATATATAGACTATAATAATATTTCTCAGAGGAAATGAGATGCCGGCAAGCCGACCAATCACAGTTCTTGTGGTCTCCGTCACCGCTACATGTGGTTTTACTGTAGGGGAGGCGTACCTACAGCATAGATTCGATGCAGAAGTGTAAACTGGCCTTTAGAGTCATGAGGATTTGTGATCTGGCCAACAGAGAAGAATCTGCTGCTGAGTGTAAAAGAAGTGTTTTCAATCTCATCTGGATTTGATCCAGATACCAGACAGATGAAATGACACGTGTTCTTGGCAGCTGTGGTTCAGCTGGGATCATGTCTGATCCAGTAGGCTCTTACAGGAATTCCCTGCAGCTGCGGCTTGTCCAGCAGGTTGTGGAGTTCGTTCTTGGAGGCTTCGATCTTCTCCGGGTCTGCTGCGTCCACCATGTAGCTACAACACACAAAGAAACCATGAAAACATCAAACAAAACAAAAAAGGTTCATTTAAATACCTTTATTTATCAGAACGGTCATCAACGACGAAACCAATAACCAATGTTTAAAGAATTACTGCTTCAGTGACAAAAGATAAATAATTTTATGTGAAATTAGTGAGGATGTTTGGAGATATGCACTCAGGCTCACAAAGCCACAGACGCTGATCTGTGGAAGGAATTTCAACGGCAGATAAAGAACAGATTTTTCAGAACACCACATGTTGTGGCTAAAATGAATCCGAATCAATCAAGTCAGAGTTGGAGGGGGTGTGGAGAGACAATGTCTACTCACTCACTTATTTTGGCAATGGCCATTGTTAGATAACTTTTGGAAATCCATTTTTACATATATTAATAAAATATGGAACTGATTAGAGACCCTCTGATAGCAGTTTTAGGGATGAAACGAAAGAGAAGTATTTATTACAGGTATCATTGGTAGCAGCAAAGAAAACAATTACAATAAGATGGCTTAAAAAGGAGCTGGCTACACATTCATGGAGATTACAGAAAGATCTTTTCATTGAAAGATGAGCACCATTAATGAAGGTGATGGAAGACTAACTCTGGCTAGATCTGCCAGGTGAACTTGTAAACAACCCATGTGTTGATGTCTGTTCTGTTTACAAGGTTTATCTTCAAGGTTGTTAATTATTTTTATTTCTTCTCCTCCTTGTACTTCTGGACATATCCTCCGCATGAATGTTATGACCCCTTGTAAAGGATATTGTTTCTGAGTGGAAGTAATTGCTGTAAAAGGAGATTAGAAGGATATTAAAAAAAAAAAAAAAAAAAAAAAAAAAGAACCGTCATTAACTTAATTTCACCAGCATATCAGAAAATGCTCCTACCAGGGCTCGAGACTAACGTCGTCCTGGGGACGATAGAAGATGTGTTTGGGATGAAGAGAAATATTCTGTCGGACGAAAGGGATTGTGTGACAAACGAACCGACCGAACGCTGACGTCGACGGAGGCCGTCTTCTCACGCTCTTACCACATTCACGCCGGACTCACACAGGAGGCCGACCGCTCACCTGTTCCCAGGTCCATCTGTCCTCTCAATCCCGCTGTGTAGGCTAGCGTTTAGCGCCACACGTCAATCTTCTCACGCAGTGAAAAACAAATCTATATTCTACCTCCGACGAACTTTAGTGCACTGGTCTCATTCAGCACAGCAGATTATAAGTCAGGTAGACTTCTTAATGTTCTTGATGTTAGTCTCATAATAGTGAGATTCTGAATGTGTAAAAAGTTTTGAACATGAGCAGAAAAGCTGCTGAAACAAAGTCCAGGAGTTTCTAACTGAGTAGAAATGAAATAATTTATCATCGAGGTAAAAAGTTGCCCCAACAGATAACTTTTCAGTTTTGTTTATAAATCTTTTTGTTTGAATCAAGCTAAATAAATATTATTTATTTTATCAATTTATAATCATTTATTATGTCACCAACAACTATAGAGGATAATACAGTAAAGACACAACTTTTGATTTTGGGAAGCTTTACATCAACTTCAGGACGGTTCGAATTGCTGTTCAGGACGTTTCTGGGACGCAGGTGAAAAAAGTTAGTCTGGCTCCTTCTTCCCTTCACATGAGATTTTAAACGCTCCCTCCAGTCATATCGTGCTGCTTGCTGAACTGGACTAAAAACCACAGGGCGGGTGGAGAAAAGGCTGGCAGAGCCCATCAGTATCACTTTTACTACACCACAACTTACGAGCAAACCAAATCTGGTGTCTTACATAATAATAATTATAAAAAGTGAATAATATTAATGCCCCTTCATCGTGCAGCTTTCCTGTCCCGGCCTCACCAAGACAACCGGGGTAATACGACACAACAAGACTGCAGGACTGCATTAAGCTTCTTTCTGATGATCAGGATTTTCTCACTGCATTCACTTTGACCCGACCAAACTCTTGCCTGTAAACAGTCGATTTAAAGCTGACAAAAGACAAACTCCGTCTCTCCCGGGTCTCCAGTCTAGTTTGGACCCAGAAGAGACCTCCCATCGGCCCGTCTAAGGGGACGTTAACCACAGTTTGGGAAACCAGTACTTACACGATGGCGCTGACTCCTCGACAGTAACGCTCCCACATGCTCCTGAACCGAGGCTGACCGCCGATGTCCCACAGCTACGGACACAGGGAGAGGTCAGGGTTAGTTCAACCTGTGCAAACACTCACCGCTAAAACTAATTAACCACGATTTAAAAAAGAATGTAGTCGTAGTCTCTTCTAAGATTAAAATAACACATTTCCTTGTTGTCTTTATCATTTATTTTAAGCGTAGAGTGAGATCATTTCTGGCTCTTTCCACTCTAAAGTATAATCTAAATAAAAAAAGTGTTTAATACACGTTTAATTTAGCAAGTTCATTTTTTCCAATTTACCAGAAGATCAAGGCCACCAAGTTGTTTAACGGCAAAAAGGTCGATATCCAGAAAAAAAGTGCCTTCATCTCGAATGACTGACACAGTCTGGCCTGTTCTGAGACCTACACCTGTGGCCCAATCACTGCCACTACACATTCTGTACACCTGATGAAGATGTAATGTCAATACTTTAATAAATGTTTTTTGGAGCATTGACTCGGTGTATTACTTCAGCTTAATTTAAGTTAACCTTTTATATTTTTACTATACATCTAGAACAAGCAGGTCTGTGTGATTTGTAGAGTACATTACATTTATAAATTTAGCTGACGCTTTTATCCAAAGCGACTTACAATTGCTACTCACGTCAGAGGTCACATATCAGAGTTTGGACATTCAGGCAGAAGCAGGGAATGGAAGTACAAACCTTGATGGTAACGTTGCCTTTGGTGATCTTCCTCATGTTGAACCCGACTGTAGGAATCATATCTTCGCTGAACTGGCCGGACTGAAACACACAAACACACACGTCTTACTGATATACGCCACAGCTGATAATGTGCGCAGCTTATCAATGCTCTTTAGGAATCGTCATCTGCCTGCCGCTAAACCAAGAGCGACGCGTCATCGGTCAATCTTCAGGATCTCTCCATTATTGACTGATTTGGAGCTCCTCACAGAGAGACTGTATTGATCTGTCTGTCGTAAGAGGAGTGATGTTTTAAGAGGAGACACGCCGCTCAAAGAATCATCAATACAAGTTTTTATTAAGGAAGGCTTGTAAAGCTAAACATGGCGGTTATTACGGGTGGGAGAAATAATCGATTCTTAGATGCATCGCCATGCGGACGTGGAAGATTCTGGCTCGATTAACAAATGTCTAAAAAATGATTATTTAATGTTAATTGATAACGTAACGTTGACAGAACGCAAAAGGTGGAACTCGTGGAAGTGCAGCCGCTAAAAATATTTATTTATTTATGTAACGTTAGCTGAATTAGTAACTAAGTAATATTAATTATCAGCTGTATGTCATTACTAACTAACCTACTAGTCAAGGGTTAAAAACATCTGGTACATGCTGAGACTAAACTGGTGTCCAGCTCAGTCCTCGACATCCTGATATTTATATTTCAGTTTTCTGACAGCTGGCTGTTAAAGAAATGAGGCACCATGGAGCTGAGGTTAATACAGTAAATTAGGGATGCAAACTAGTCCTTTTAAGCTAATTAGCAGATGTTTCTTTTGGATTTTAAAGCGCAAATTTAAAAGCTTCGTAAGGGATCCTGTATAGAAAAAAATGACGCATCAAGATGCATCGATAATCGTTTCATAATCGATTCGTGAGGTGCCCAGCGGTTCCCACCCACTAGCGGTTATCCCGCCCCTCCCGCTAGAAAAGCCAAACGTCTGCTTTTAGCAGCTGAGCCAGAAACATATTCAGCCAATCGTGTGGTTCCACTGACACAAGGCTCTACCACGCATGTGGAGTAGAAGTATAACCTGAGGGGAAAACGCTTTTTAAAGTCATCAAACTATGATTTTTATTAGATTTTACTGCTAATTCTCTACATGCAGCTTGTATGTCAGGGATAGTGATCCTGTTAGTCCTGAATAATTACCCAGAGGCCTTACTAAGATGGCTGCCGAGTGGCGGGACTTGCCTATGAGGACTTTAATTTCAGTACAGAAATGAGAAGGTCGGGGTGTCCTGGTGACCTTGGGGTGAAGACGGCGTCTCTTCTTCCTGGGACCTGTCTCACACGCCAATCCCCATTTCTCTCTGTCACTTCCTGTCTTCTCTTGACGGTCAGCTCTCAGTTGTTGCTCTCACAACATTCAGGTCATCCAGAGATACAAACTGTTTGTGTATGTAATGCTAAATAACAAAGATCAGCCAGCATATCGCCATTATGTTTTTAAACTCAGATTTTAATATCAGCCTTATAAAAGTATGGGTGGGGCTCTAGTCTGAGCTCCAAACTGCGTTACAGATTTCCCAAAGAAAGAAACTATAATAAGAAGAATAATAAGAATAAGAAGAACTTTAGGAATGTGCCAATCCGATAATTTCCCCATGTACACACCACTTCTGTTTCCTGTCTGTCCATCCTGAGAGAGGATTCCTCCTCTGCTACTCTTTCTCAGCTAAAGAAATAAAATTCATGTGACTCGATATGACGGATCGGTTTCATCCGTGACATCACAATCACAGTTCGTTAATCAATGTTTTGCTACGAGTCACTTCCCGAGGGATGTCTGCACCAACATAAGCATGCTCCCTCACGTCTGGAGGACATGGTTTGTAGGCCGGGACGCCTCTGTCACGCTTAGCTCCTGCCAGTAAGCGCTAACAGAGGGGAAATCCCCCAAAAACATAGAAGTGAACTTCTTGGACTGTGATATTTTTACCATCCATATTCTCTCGAGATGTTTTCCGCTGTTGTTCATTTATCTCCTTCCATTCGCCCACTGAGAACACAATATCTGCCTCCTTCTCCCACATCTTTTTAAATATTATCCTTTTAAATGTTTCACTCCCGTCTATAATTTTGAAACTGACTTCCTTCCTCTTCTGATTCAGACGCTAATTCGCTGATTTAATAATGCCTAACTCCATCCCATCTGTGCTGCTCATATTGTACGTACTGTATTTTCCACACCCACCTACCTCTTGTACATAATATTGCATAATTACTGTATAAAAATATTTCCTTATTCCAGCATCTTTTGCACTGTTGTTGTTGTTTATGGTTGTGTGTACAATGTTTACAATGGTTTGCAGGCTGGGACGTCTCTGTAGCACCACAACGTTTCAATTATAAAAACTGCAGCTCCTGCGATTTTGGATATTAGACTTGGCCACGGTGAGATTTTATAGTATTTGTATTAATTGTTCACTCCCTGACCTCACATTAGCTCACATACCAATTATTTCCTTTAAAATTTGAGGAAAAGGCAGCAGTGGAGTCGGATCTGCACTTGGTATCACAATCTGCATAATCCCTGGTTATACTGAAAAAGGAAAATTGGACAACAATAGATGTTATGGAGTCTATCGTTTTCTTATTTCTTTAAGGCCTTTTAGAGAAAGTTTGTGACTCGTTTATAAGAAAGGCACTCGAGGAGATCCTTATGTTTCATTTAAAATATAGAAGATTTATTACTTCAATAAATAAATTAGCCATGGTTTACTTTCAACAGTTTATAACTTCTTTTCTAATAATAATAATAATGTTTACAATGGTCGTTCACAGGTATAATATCATTATTCTCATTTTCATTGAAAAACCTGTTAAAATGAATTGACTTTGATGATGTGATTTCTGCACAATCTGTGCCATAAAAAGATGTTTTCTTAAGTCTCTAGAATCTGATGTGTAGGCCAGGAAGTCTCTGCAGCACCACAGTATTTTAATAAAAATGGTATTTTAAAACAAATATTGAAAATTGCAGTAGGCCGTATTGCGATTTCAACAAAATTTAGATTAATTGTTGAGCCCTTTGCTCCAACAATCAGACTGCTACTGATGTCAGCCCCAAAAATCCAGCACCAGCCGGGCTGTAGTCTGGCAGCATTTAAGATTTCTGAAACGCAAAAACTTAGAAGTTATATATTTTTAGGGTGAAGATAAATCTGTGTTAGCAGGTCACCCAAATGTTGTACATGGGGAGCACAGGAGGCTGATGTGAGGAGAGAAACTCAGCTGATGTGTGTCAGGGAGGGAGTCTGGTGTGACCGGAGACGGAAGGTCACTCTGACAGGAGGAGGGGGGGGGGGTCGACCTACAAACCCTACCCTACCTCTGGCACCAGGGCTGGTGGTTCAGGTCCCAAACCGGCCTTCCGTTCTGATTACAAAATCTACATTTCTTGTGGAGGTTAAGATTCTCTCCTGATGCAGATGTGAAAGCATCTGTGTGCCTATTTAAATGACCCATCAGACCCGGTGTATTAGTGTTTACCCACAGCGTTAGCAGCACATATTCTTAATTAAAAAGCACACCGCTGACACAAATGTGAGTTAAAACTGGGTAACAAATCATCCTGACTTAACGTTAGTTCACCAGACAGCTAGCTGACCTCACCACCGCAGGATAACAATGGATGCAGCCAGATGCTAACAGACAGCTGGCGTTAGCATGAAGCTTACCGCTATCACATTGACGAAGGTCGTCTTCCCGGAGTACTGCAGCCCCACCAGGGTCAGCTCCATCTCTTCTTTCCAGAAGAGCGCCTTGAACCAGTCCAACAGTTTGTTGATTAGCGCTATCATCTTTGTCGTTTTTATGCTAATGCTAGCTGCGGCTAGTGCTGCTGCGGCTAGGTGGCTATGCTAGCTAGCTAGCTGGCTAACGCCCCGATGGTCTTTTCTTTTTTCTGAGACGCTGTCAGTCGCTGTGACAACCACGGACGGTTACAGGACTGCGGACGACACCGGCGGGCTTTCTACAAACCGAAGAGGGAACTTAATGCGTCGGTGTTTTCCGGCTCTAATGTCCGCTGTGTGTGTTTGTCTTTTTTTTAGCTCTCTGTGATGTTTACTAGCTACGCCTTTTCCTCCCAGCCAAGACGGAAACTACACATCAGATCACATCCGGTACGCCCTTCAAAGTAAACGTCCCAGGGAACTACAATCATCTTCGTTAGTCAAAATAAAAGCTCACCATGGAAACACTGAAATGTTTCAGATCATCAAACTAATAAAAATATTAGACAAAGGTAACACAAGTAAACACACAATGAATGTTTTTATTATTAAGGGAGAAAAGTCTTGTTAAATCATGAATTAACTGCGATTAATCACATTTTTTGGGAAACTGAGTTCAATTTCACTATTCAGTTCAAATTAGCTTTATTGGCATGAATGTGTAACAACAACATTGCCAAAGCATCATACATACAACCTAAGAACAATCAGCCCCATATATTTCATTAAACAAGTAATTAAAGCGTAAAGTAATCGAAGCATATGTGTGTTTGTGTTAAAAAAGAAAAGAAGAAATATTAAATATTAAAATAAAATAAATAAATAAATCAGTAAGCGTGTGTGTGTGTTTTAAAAAAAATATACATATTAAAAATAAAATAAATAAATAAAACAGGAAGTGTGTGTGTGTTAAAAAAATAAATAAATAAATAAAGCAGTAAGCGTGTGTGTGTTTGTGTGCGTGTGTGTTAAAAAATAAAAATATATTAAAATTAAAATAAATAAATAAAACAGTAAGCGTGTGTGTGTGTGTGTGTGTGTTAAAAAATTAAAATATATAAATAAATGAAACAGTAACTTGTGTGTGTATATATTAATTAAAATAGTTTTTTAAATAATTAATTAGCCAATAGCCACACCCAGGTCTACTTATTGCCAAACCTACTGAATCAAGAAATCACCTAAATATAACCTTTCTGACAACGTGAAGTAGGCTAAAAGATCTCAAAAAGCAACATATCCTTCCACGATCTAAAGAAATTCAAGAGCAAATGAGAAACAAATCATCTACCAGTCTAGGAAGGGTTGCAAATCCATTTCTAAGGCTCTGGGACTACAGCAAACCACGGTGAGAGCCATGATCCATAAATGGAGAAAACTTGGAACAAGATACAAGGTAGTTTATTAGTCATCATGCAGCACAAGGCAGCATAACGAAACAAATTTTGTAGTTCCTTCATGCTACACACACAACATATTAAGTATAGGCCTATATTAAAATATGGTAACATATAACCCAAATGAACCCAGAACAACATCGAAAGAACTGCAGGCCTTACTTGCCTCAGTTAAAGTCAAAGTCCATGATTCAACTGGGCAAAAATGGCCCAGGTTGGTTGGGCAATGGTTTGTCTAACATTTGCCAAATAAAATCTTAATGATCCCCAAGACTTTTAGGAAAATAATTTTTATATTTTTAAGTCACGAGACAAAAGTTTAACTTTTTGGAAGGTGAGCATCCTGTTAAATCTGGTATAAAACCAACACAGCAGTTAATAAAAGGAACAGTAAAATATAGTGGTGGTAGTGTGATGGTCTGGGCTGTTTTGCTGCTTCAGGACCTGGAAGACTTGCTGTGGTAAATGGAATGATTGTTATGTATTGTAACACCTGATTCTAGGAGTATAGTCGAATCGACGCCGTAGCCGTAAGAACTGTAATTGGTTGGCTGGGTAGCCTCCGAGCCGACGGGAAGTGCCCCGTGCTTTGAAGGATGTTTTACTAGCGGCCAAACCAGCGGTTGTAACACGGTGGATCGATATATTTGACCTTCACAACCCGAGCAAAATGACTCATTTCACTATGAGAACGTGATCCATTTAGTCGGCGCACGTAGACCCGACGCAGGAGTATAAATCAAGCTTAAGGCCGTTGCTATTAGGATTTACCCCTACACGCATGCAGGGGGTCCACGTGAGGCGGCGGAGGGGAGGGAGGCAGGGATTGGCAGCAGGGAAAATGAACTGCTTGTGACATTGGAGCCAGGCTGCATGAAGGCTGTCTAGCCAGCTGCTGCCGGTCCGTACGGTGTGGGGGAAATGTGTTTAACGGCGACCGTTGAGTCAGCTGAGGCAGCAGCGGGCCGAGGAACATGCTCTTTAGGGCAAACATTTGTCTCAACTAGTGTTGTAGTCAAGACTGCCCAAATCGAGACCATGTCAAGACCAAGACCAAAGTTTATCAAGACCAAGACAAGACCAAGACTTTTACGGGCTGAGAGCAGTCGAGACCAAGAACGAGGGAGGGTGAGACCGAGTCAAGACCAAGACAAGTTCCCTTCATTGCATGGCACGCAATAAAATGTGGAACGAGATCATAGGTAGTTCTCAAATTGATCTGAAAGATCCACAATTACCATTAAAACACTCACATATAAACACTAAGAGCTGAAATCAACGTATGCGTCGCAGGGAGGGGTGATAGTTGTTAATTAGGGTTATTGGTTGCAGGAAGCCGGGGGAAGGCATAGGGAGCTGCACCTGCAGCAGCCTCGGGCCTGGCAGTCCTTCTTGTGGCTGCGGTGGTCTCGTCGGAGAGCGGCAATAGGACAACACCACACACAACCCTGTGTGTGTGTTTATCCCCTCCACACGAAGCGTAATGTCCGCTTTCGTGGGCTTATGACACAGCCTGCCTTCTGTGAAACAAAGGGCTGACCCTGGACGCACAGAAGAACCGTGTCAGTGAAGAATATCTGTACAAGGCGTTTGTTCTGTCCACATGAAGCACTCGTGTGGCTCATACACAATTTCTCTGAGGAGGGGTGTGTGAGAGGACCTCTGACCATGAACAGAGAGTGTACTGCTAACGGCCATTCAAGGGCCTGTTTCATGTGATAAGAACGGCTGCACCGGTGGCTGTTACCTGCGTGCAATTCTCTTGTTGTGTCTACAAGCAGCTGACAACACATGTGCGGCCCATGTTGTGGGGCCCCTACCTAGCCGGGGCCCTAGTTCGCCCGCCCCCATGCACCTTGCTATCTCCGCTTGAAGGAGAATGTCCAGCCATCTGCTCGTGACGTCAAGCTGAAGTGCACTTCGGTTCTGCAGCAAAACAAAATGAAGACTTTAGACTGACCTACTCAAAGTCTGGACCTGAATCCAACTGAGATGTTGTGGCATGACCTTAAAAAGGAATTTAAGGCTAAAAAAACCCTCCGATGTGGCTGAATTACAACAATTCTGCAAAGATGATTATCTTAAAGATAATTTAGCTATGGAGTGATGCATCTTGTCTCCAAAGGATCTTTGTTGGGAGTTGCACATGCTCAGTTCCTAGTTAAGGACTATTAGCCAATCAGAAGCAGAGTAGGGCGGGTCAGCGAGAAGCCGGTAAACAGCTCGGGTTCAGCCATACGTGTTGCCGACCAGCTTGGCAACACGGACTGGAGCGAGAGTTTCAGAGCGGTGAGTTATTAATCTGTATCCATAAAGTTTTAACTGAGCTCTGTCTCTACATCACAGGAACAACTTTATGTCCACTGACTGCCTGGAGGGTAGCTAGTGTTTGGAAGGGAGAGGAGAGCTGTGTGCTGCAGCTCGCTGTTTCTGAGGGCGTGTCGGAGTAGCCGCTTGGCGAGCAGTTCAGAGCAGAGTTTTCTGTGGGAGATGGGAACTCCCTTTGGGCTTTTTCACTTTGCAAACCTATAACATGCACAAAAAAGGTATTTAACTCAATAAAGCAGAGGGGGAAAAGCCAAAAAGCAGAATACCACCTTTTTAAGGAAATAAAACATTAAAAGTTAGGCTACAATAAGTTAGAGTAAAACAGAAGTTACAGGAACTTTAGAAGACTAGACGTGAGTGCAAGTTTGTTGCTAAACCAACCAGGACTGTGAGGTTTACAGCATTTCCATAGTCTCTTAATGTGTTTACAGAGAGGCTGAGGAGTAAGTCCATTTAAACATTTAAATACAAGCTTTTTATCATGAAAATCAATAGAACAGCAAAAACTGGCTATGACCATGGATGTTCATTTAAATTTATATCCATGGTTACACTGTTTTATTTTGTTTAATCTGTCAGTGCCTCTTCCTGTTTGGGTGGGGTTGCTAGAGGAAGCAGAGGAGAGCAGAAAAGAGGAAACCAACAGATGCAGGTACATGACGGGGACTGAAACACTGCCCCCTGTCATTAACCTCAGGTACATTTTGTCTTAAGCGTCCCACAAACCCCTCATTCAAATGATTCAGGGGCCTTATTGTACGTACAAACCTGAGAACCGCTGTCCAACAGTGCGTCACACAGCTGCCCATTCACTTGCACTGGTTCCAAGGATGGTGGTTCTCTCAGGCCTTCTCGTATCCACTGCACTCTTTCTAACTGTACAGGCTGTCTCCTTTGGCATCACCAGTACAGTGTGGGATGTTGGTTTTGACCTTCTTTAGAGCTTGGATGAGCCTCCACAGAATGATTCTCAGTGTAGACTCACCAGCTTGTGTTACCCGCTGAGTTCAAGGCAGATTAAGTATTTTTAAAAGCAGGTACTTTTGCAATTTAAATTAAAGACTTTTACTTTTAGTGGAGTAGCATTAAGATAAAAATGAGTGAAAGGGAGGCAGTCAATCCTTCACAAACCATTTCAATCGCCCACAATAGCGTTCGTTCTCTGTACCATTTACACCTCCAGCAACCACTTAGCAAATTGTTTGAATGATCAACCCGGTCCGGATTCCTTATTGTCTAATTGACCCTCAGGTCGTAATTCAAACCAACCCCCTTACATTTCTTGGTTTGTTTCGTTGTTTTTGCCGTGTTGTGCTGAGATGATCGGATTTATGTTTCTACTTTTGATAAACTGGACGGAAAGTGAACTGAACTCGCAGTTGAATTTTAAGTTGTGTTTATTTTGTGGTCTACTTTTGTTATGTGGTTTTATTTAATCATTTATGTGTGCTCTTTTAATATTATTATTATTATTATTATTACTGTTCTCGTTATGGCTTATAGATATATATGTATGTGTTCTTATCCTTAACCTTTCCTCTCCTAAACTTCTGTTAGTCCGTCCATATTTACTAGGGTTCAGGTCAGAGGTGTGAGATTGTTTTGGTGTTTTTCCTCTCTTATTGTTCCTCTCCTCTCCTGGAATGTTCATTCAAGGCTGAGAGAGGATCTCTGTTCCCCAAAACATAGAAACCTAGACAGTGTAAATGATGATGCATCCCTTTGCTCGGGGCCAGACGCCCGAAGCCGCCCCAGGCGGCAGGTCTCTGGACCAGCTGTATATGTGTTGTTGTACTTCTCTGTTTATTCTCTTTTGTTAAATAAATTCTTCAAAGACAACGGTTGGTTGTAACTAAATTCTTTGCTCAACCCATCACCAGGAATTAAAACCAAATTACGCTGTGTCGTGTGCTAAACTTTTGAGTGGTGGTTTTCTTATCTAGTAACCTTTGTTGTAAACACTTTTAACTGAACTTAACTGTCACAAGGGGTCTGTACTTTTACTCAAGTACAGGATTTCTGTACTTCGTCCACCACTGATCCCATCTAGATTCTCCCTTCTTTATGTTTGATCCTTTAATTCTTGAAACCTTTTGAACTTTCCTCAATTATTCCTTATTCCCCACGTGATGTGTTATTGGTCACTGTGAACAGTCGATGATGTAAAAAGTTCAAAAGACCCAGTCTGAGATTTAGTGAAAGGTATCACAGTCAGTCATACATACAGCTAACTGCAGCATTAACGATACAAGAAGTGCAACTCACTGGACATCCGGTCACACGTCAGAAGTTAACCACAGTTTTATTTGTTGAACCATCTGTTTTACAGTTGCCTCTGAAAATGACCTTTAACCATTCTTTCAAACCCACACCCCTCTTATTATAAACCTTTTTACTTGGCAAATTGGCACTAATAAAGACAATCAGTATTTGCAACCATACACATGTTTTTGCACTTACACCTATCAGCCATAACATTATGACCATTTTGCAGCCAACCCCCCCCTGACCCGTCAAGGCCTTGACTCCACTGCGTCTCCTCTGTGTGTTCTGAAAACTTTCTATCAGAACCAGCATCAACTTCTTCAGCTGTTTGACCCACAGCTGGGCCAGCCTTCGCTCCCCACGTGCATCAATGAGTCTTGGCGGTCCATGACCCTGTCGCCGGTTCACCTGTTTCTTGGACCACTTAGGTCTGCCTCAAAGCTCAATTACAAGGTAATTCAATCAATCAATTACGACAATGTGCACCAACACTCTGCAGCTGTGTGTAAAATAGGAAAGTAAGTGCTCCTGTGCCAATGAGCTGTTCAGAGCAGGTGGGGACCCAGGTGAACTAGCTTCTGTACCCTGGTGTGTGCTGTGCTATACCTATACTGGCCAGCAGGGGGTACTGGTCCTGTCCTGGGTCTTCTATTATGTTACAGACTGCAAACTGGAACTGTACAGGACTCCCGTCTGGCAAGGCTGGATTATCAACCGGACAAACCAAGCAACAGCCCTCGGGTTCCCAAAAGGCTGTCTCTAAGCAATTAGTGAAAATTTGATTACAAACTTGTTAGTATGCTAAAACACAGTACGCCTGAAATGACAAGAGGCTGCAGCATTTCTACCTGATTTTGAGGCCCTGTTTTTGTCAGGGGCCTTTAAATATTTCACTTCACATTATGCTAACATGGTGCATTTTTCTTTGTGCTTAATTTATTCCTCACCAACTAACTGCCTCACTGCAAACTGGGGTAGGGTATTATTCCAGTATGAGCATACTGGTTGGGTTTGAGGGCTCTGGGGATTATGGGACGGAGAATCACGTGTGTGGCTAGTTTTTTCATCTTGTCTTGGATTTTTAAGCTTGTTTTAAAACAAAAGTGACAAAATATTCCTATAGGTAACACTCACTCAGCTTTTTCTGAAGTACCGACCTGACCATAACCACCATGTTTTGGAAACACAAACTAATAAGGGAAATTAAGTATCAGAAACCACATTGTACCGGTGGTGGGTCAGGTCTCAGGGGCCCAATATATTCCTGTTATGGTCCATCATCGACATACGTCCCATCCCCTGCGAGTCTCTCGTTGGCAAGACTGCAGCCAAAGATGGATTACTGGACAGGCTGACTGGGCACGGCCTCAGGGGGTCGGGGGCCCAGAGGCCAGAGCCTAAAAGTATTAAATAAATAAAGAACATTATATCTAACAAACTTTATATATATTAGATCTTTAAGAGAAAAATTTGCGTCCTTATTTAAACATATGAAGCGAGCCACAAGACAAAACCACTTTGACCGCATCAAAGATTCATCCTGTTTTTAATTGATTTGATTTGATTTGAGATTAAAATTGGGGAAAATACATTATCCATTTGTTATTTTCTATTTGATTCTCCGGGTTCAGGCCCCTTGTGAACGGTTAGGGAGATTTTCAGCCCAGCATGAACATGATGCTCTGGGTTCTTAGCTGTATGCAGTGAACTGGACCAAAAGATCCAGTTGTTTTAGGGTTCGGGGTTAGGGTCCTGACAGTTCTGATACTGCTGGTTCCCCAAATTCTCCATCTGTGAGTGCATCAGTTCTTTAAGTTACGCCTCTTCTCTTGCTTCCATCTTTCTGGTTCTGTTAATAATATTTCTTGTGCATTCTGTTGGTCTCCGAGATTTCTTTAGCTGTCTACTTGGCCTTGTGGACTGGTTCTCCAGGTGCTGTATCAGTTCTTCCCATTCTGTGTGTTGTCTAGCTGGAGGTTCTGTAGCTGTGTGCTGACTTGGTCCTCTGGATTCTGCTGGTCCTGCGTCACTGTGACCGGCTGGTTCTGTTCCTGGTAAAGAGGAAACAGTGGGTTTAACAGTTCCACTGCTGTTACTGAGACAAGAAGTCCTCACATCTAAACCACAACACATTCAGAATGTCCGAGTTCAAAGTCGGAAATATCAAAGGGAACGCCCCCTTAGGTCGGATTTCTGACATGGAAAGTCGGGAGAACTGCACTACCCCAACTTTGTGACCCAAGATGGCTGCTCTGAGTATCAACAGTTAGTGAAAGCTGTAGTCTATACTGTATATTAGCCCTTCTGTGTACTTGTGTCTCATATAAATGTTCGTACACAAAGTGCTGTCCAGCTGTGGTCGTGTTGCTACATTGTTTAGTATGAGTAAATACCGGGCAATGATTTTGGCTAACCTGGCTAGTTGTAAACAACGGCTGGCCGAGCGAGGTTTTCTGACTTGTTAACTGGAACGCCGTCAACTCGGGTGTGACGTCATTCCCAGCTCCGACCTCCGACTTCTCCTCCGAGGTAAATGGAACGCACCATTTGTTTTGAAGCCAATTCAATAGTGGCCAAACCACACATTTTCATTGACGTTGTGAAAGAAGCGACTGTAAAATGGTGGAAAAATTAGTTTGATTGTCACAATCAGAACTTGATACATTCGGTCCGATAACATTCGGAAAGTCTAGAAGGGCTACACAATTAGCATTTTACCACCATTCAAGCTAGTGGAGTGCTAAACCGTAAGGTAGCCGGGGCGGCCAGCAGAAGTCAACACAGTGAAACAGGAACTTCACCGCCGGTTTGCGTTAAAAAATGCAATAGACCAAAATTCCATAGCCTGCAGCGTAGAGGATCTCCAGCCCACCAACACGCCCCGCTTTTAGGGAAACAAAGATCTCAGAGTGATCATTCATTCTTGATAATGGGAAAAGTCATTATCTTAATTCAATGTTCACTTCCTAGCTTTTACCACATCTCTCAGTCTGCATCAGGAGTAACTGGATTAAGGAGGTGGATGGAGGGCAAGAACCCGGACTTTGAAACAGGAGACCGGGATTCGTGTCCCGTGTGAAACAAAAAGTCAAGATAACACATATTTTTATTGAAGTTAAGCAAGTTGCGTAAATTGCGTAAGTTACACAAGTGACGTAAGTTAACTTACGTATTAACTGACATATGTAGCTATTTTAACCCAAACCAGGATGTTTTCCTAACCTTAACCAAGTACTTTTTCTGCCTAAACCTGACCAAACTGCAATGTTTCACAACTTTAATAACGGGCTGTTTAAAAATGCCAATGTTTCGAAACGCTTTGTTTTATTTTGAAAGTCTAACTGGATGTTGTATATTTATTGTTGCTAATTTTACCGGACGTTGCATATTTATTGTTGTTAAGCATTGCTAACTGGACTGCGGTGCCCTAAACGTCCACAGTTTTAGAACAAATACAATCTCCAGTGTTTTAGCTGCGGATCAGAGTTGATCTCCGACTACATTAAAACAACTGAAAACGCACATTTAGTGGCCGTTCAGGTACACTGGGCGTGCGTGTGCTGATGAAAACATTAGGCAGATGGTCTATTCTGTAGTTTCAGAAGGCGAAAGAATAAAGTACTGCAGACAAAGAACCGCAAGAGTTAAAAGCGACTGTGGCGGCGGATAACAGACTGTGTGTCGTTGCAAAGTAAACAGCGACATGCACTAAGTGTTATTTGAACGGTACAAAATATTTTAATAAAAATACCAAATCAAAAACTCTGTCAGTAGCATCGTGTTTCTGCTTTGCATGACTTATAAGACCCAATCAGAGAGCCGAACGTGAGCGTCTGTGTCATCGTTTCTAAAGTTGTCCATTTTTGCCCTCCGGAGTTTCAAAACGAAAAACAGGGTCTGCAACGTTTTCAAACTTCTCTGTTTTAGCTCTTCGTTTTTGTTGTTTCAGTCTGGACGGGAGGTTCGAACGCAGCAAAGGGTCTCCATTTTAAACGGATGGGGCCCAAAAGTAACGCCAAAGGGCCTCGACTAAGTGTCAATATGTGACGAGTCGGGAGTGAGAAAGGGTTGTTTATTCACTTTGTGCCACAGTACAGAGGAACAGGGGGCTATGAAGAACTGGAGTTATATTCCAGTAACTTCTGGGCAGTAAAGGGATGAAGAAATTGCAGTTTGAAAAGCTGTCAGACAAATCTAGTGAAGAAAGTAGTATTTCCATTTTCCAATAGCAGATCAGAACCCGCTGGCCGCGTGGAGCCGAGTACCTGGCTGTGTTGTAGCTGGGAGCTGTACTGGGCCAGTGTGGAGTACAGGAACTGGTACTGCTCTGTGGTTTGGATCATACCACCTCTGCACAGGACAGGGGGGAGACCACAGATTAGACAAGCTACATTTAGGGAATAAACTAAACACAACACCACAGATGGAGAGAGAGAAGAGGGGAGTGTTTTCACCCACCTGTCGAGTCGAAGCTGACACACCGTCTCCAGGATGTCAACCTGACCGGTTTCTCTGAGCTGCTGACAGCAAATACTGCAGACTATAAAACAACCTGTCCTCCCGATACCTGCACTGAGAGGGGGGAAGAGGGGAGAGACGAGAGGTTAAAGGAGTATCTGTGTGGGAGGAGATGTAGTCATTAAGTTTCACTCACAAAACAGACTTTTGAGAAAGTAAAAGGAGGACTTTCACACCGCAGAAACCAGCAGATGATCAGAACAAATTTAGCAGCTTCAGAAGTCGTACTGGGGATCCGGGAACAAAAGGAGAACATTATTATCACAGCTTTTGAAGTGTAATGGAAGTAGCGGAGAACCGTTAGACATGAAGTAAGATCTGAAGAAAGATCTTGCTAAAGCAAATGGGAAGCGGTCAAGAGGACGTGGCAGTCAGACACCAGACAAGAGAAATCAGCCTGAAGAGCAGGTGATGAAACTCTGATCTACACCACAGCCTGAACACACTTTCATCCGTCCCCTCTGCTGTGGTTGGCTGCTCAGGTACGACCGCCCACGCCCTCAAACAGGAAGTAGCTTTCAACACATCCGCCACTTTGGTTTGATTCATCACAAGCTGGTTTTACTGTTCAGTAACCCGGACTGTTTAGTCCTTTGACAACAACAAATGAACCATCCATTACATGACTATTTATTCACCTAACTGTGCAATTAAAATATTTTATTACTTTCTATTGTTTGACGACGGAGGCAAGGGCGTCGCTTTGTGTTGAAAGTGTTGTGGACATCAGGGCTCAAGTTTTAATGCCATCCAGCCACGCTCACGCTGAACTCCCACAACCCTTCTCTTCGGAGGAGGAGCCAATGAAAGCACCAAAAACAGTCTGATAAGGAACCAACCTGCAGTGGACGATGACTGGTCCAGGACCTGGGGCAGGGGTGTCTGTGATTGGCTGAGAGCTGGGCGGTAAGAGGGACCTCCTGTACGTCTCCACCTCCTCGACCAGTCTCAGCAGAGGAGCGGTGCATTGTGGGATGTGGTGGTCGGGCCAAGAGGTGAACCAGTAGTGTCTGACGTGACGGCGCTCTGCACACAGCTGCACACGCACGTGAACACACAAACACATGAACACGCGTGTCAAACAGAGATTTTGATCTGAACATTCCCGACGGATCTGCAGATGCAAACGTACACTACATGGCCAAAAGTATGTGGACAGCTGAACATATCCAGTGGTGTAACGTGTGATTCTGATGCCCTGTTCTTTAAAAGATCATTTCTGGATTTTTAAACCTGGGCCCTGTTTCCACACACTGTATGTTCCCGGTGTCTGACATGGAAAGGATCCCTGCGAGGGACTCCTGGTGACCCCTTTGTTTTAAACAGAACAAAGGGGAAACGAGGAAACGAGGGCCGGCATCTTCCTGCAACAACTCACCTCGCAGAAGATTTAATAAAATAATTTTATGCTGCTCTAACAGCCTCTTTCCTCACTCATCTTTCCTGCAGAACCAGCTGCAGGGATTTGAGGTCCAACAGTGATGTTGGGGATCAGGTCTGGCTCTCAGTCGGTGTTCAAGTGCTGGATGAGGGTGAGGTCTGGGCTCTGTGCAGGCCAGTCAAGTTCTTCCACACCAAACTGGAAGAACTATTCCTTTAAAGAGTGGGCTTTGTGCACGGGGGCGACTGATGAAGCACAGTTGCACACTCTCCCAACGTCTTAATGTGGTTGAAAAAATGGTTTTAAAAATGAACGATTCGATTGGTTGTTGTATGAAAACAAGTTTTCCATCTAACGTGGGAAAATTCCGGGTAATGCAAAAACAGCCATTATGAAACCACCCCCCCCTCAAAACAGCTTTTTATCTCTTGGAGACCACAGGAAGTGTGATTTTTAAAGCAGATATGTGTGAGAAGAACATGCGATTTCAGCTGTGCGCGCTTTATGTCAGTTCCCTTTTTATGTCACATTTCTGCCATCGACCCTAAATAACCAAAGATCCATCTGTTCGGCTGCTGAACGAGTGGTGGAGCTGTAATTTCATCAGTCATCTCGTCCAGAAAGCGGCCACATCTCTAAAGCAAACATTTTCTCTGAGTTATGCTGAAAACGGTTTTTAAATTGAAATGTGTTGCATTTATTCATATCACATTTTATGACATTGCATCGTATTTGATAATATTACACCTTGTAACATTATATTCAGAGCATATCATGTCTGAAATAAATAAATAGTTTCTAAATAAATAAAAACATTAAGCGACAAAGTTTAGACTTTAATAAATGCTGGTATTAGTACTTTTAATTAAGTACTTCTCTCCACACTGACATTAACCTGAAGAATTAAAGTTCATAAAGTTGATATAACTTCAGTGTTATTTTAGTTGATCATACTTTCAGTTTATCAGTGCATGTTTAACAGGTACTTAAATACAGCACGTGAGTAAAAGTACCTGGATCTCCAGGTCAGTGACAGTGAACCCGTCTTTCTCTTGGCTGTCTCTCACTCTCAGGATGAATCTGCCGAATTGGCCTGTATCTCCTTCCTCCTCCTCTTCCTCCTTCTGCTCCTCTTCGTCCTCCTGCTCCTCCT